GGCCAGACGGATTAGCTTCTGCCTCGCGGTGAGCTTTTTCATTGCCTGCTCGAGGCTAGCAGAACACTCGACGGCGTCTCCTCCCTTCAAATTCTCTGAAGCTTTGTTAATACTCTCTATTACTTCAGCATTGAAGTAGCCTTGGTCAATGCTCTCGTCGTTATTCATCCCGTACGCAGTCAATCGTCGGCAAATATCCTCACGCGCTATGCACATGCATGTAAAAATACAGCGCGAACAGCGACCTCATGCGGCCACTATTTTTTTTTATGCAAATCAGTCGAGGACGATCTCGAGCCTTGGTTCAATCGTCGGCAAAAGCTTATGTTTTTCTTTATTTTGCGCCGGATTTCTAGCGCAGACCTCGTATGCGAATACAGATAAGTGTAGGCGGGGCTAATATGTAGAGTGTCCAATCACACCTTAGTAAATCCGGACGTCATCAAATTATTTGCAGCTATTCGCCTTTTGCGGATGTGACAGGAACCACAGTTTGTGTGCATTGGTGCCGTGTGCAGAGACACACAACGTGTACGTGTATGGATTATGTACGGTGCCACGTTTCACTATGCAAGTTTCCACGCAACGATCGACCAATAAGGAAACGACATTTAAGGTCAGCTAAGGCTATTAACATAATGAGCACCACCCCCAAAACCTCACATGGACGATTGAACCAAGGCTCTCGATCGTCCCCAACTGATTTGCATATAAAAATAGTGGCCGCGTGAGGTCGCTGTTCGCCCTGTAATTTTACATGCATGTGCGTAGCGCGTGAGGATATATGCCGACGATTGACCGCGTACGGGACGAATAACGACGAGAGCATTGACCAAGGCTAGCATTGAAGTTGTATTGTTTTCTGTTGCCCTCTTTTTCCACTTTTTGTGAGCGCTTTCCTTAATCTGCTGGGATAGGGCCTCTTTGGAGCTGGAATGCTGCTGAAGCACTTCATTACGCAACGACACACAAGAATATTGGAATGTGCGTTTTAGCTCAGCCGTTGACGCTTGAAAGGCTTGCATTATTTGCTCGGGCGTGGCCCTTGACTGATCGGCATGCCCGTCCATAGTAGAGAAGTTGCTATTGTGAAGGCTTGAAAGAAGTCGAGCCTGCCGGAGCGCAGATGGTCCATGCTGACTAAGCACCGCCTTATATACTCCCCCTTTTTGCTCCAATCTTCATCCGCGTATGGCGGAGTGACATTTACACTTATTGAGAACTACATTTCGTTCTAATTCGCCCCGCTCAACCGAACGAAATACCATTTTTAGTTACTCGATGGCCGAGATCTTTGGGGGGGGGCGGAATCTTCTCCCCCCCCCCCCGGCTGAGAGATTGTCAAAATAACCCGGCCCCTTTAGGGTTAAACACGCCTGTTCAACCTCACCTTAATGTCACACGAGCTCTGCTGATTCCATTCAAATGTAAATTCTCGCTTTGGCTAACCCAATGAAAATATATTACGTCATATACAATGCAGCGCTGCCAATCCGATAGCAAACAAGTTGAATTGTGCTAACCAATAATAACTGATGAATATATAAACTGGAAAAGAAACAATTCAAGTCCATTCCAGCTACGCGGATACTGAGTGGGGGTCCATTATTTGAGAACAAAGCAACACAAAAGGAATGGGAGTTGCTGAAAAAAAATTTTTAAGTCCAAACCAACCACCCTGTTGGCGGCTTCGCAGATACGGAGTGGGAGTCCCTTGAATTTGCTTGAGAACAAAGCAACACAAAAGGAATGGGAGTTGCTGAAAAAAATCAAGGTCCAAACCGACCACCCTTTTGGCGGCTACGCGGTTACGAAGTGGGAGTGCAATGGAGCATGACGCATAGTACATACAAGTAGCGCTGAGAATGTGTATTGAGGTCAACCAACCGTGACCTCGTGGCCGGCTACATGGATAGATCGAGTGGCGGGGTATTCTGCAATAAGCCATTTGCGAGTTAAATTTGAATAAAATCTGGAACGCTGACTTAATACAATGCTTTGCACGTTTTAACCTAGCATTCTCCCGACCAAAGAGACTGTTACTATATCACGTTATTCGGGGCGAGCCTTATGCTAGCAACCCCCAGCTCCGGCATGGTCTGGTGTCTTTGTGCCATTCTCAACCATTGTGAACGATGTATTGGTGCTGAGCGTCTCTTACGTAACTATGCAAGAGCTTGCCCCGAATCTTGTGATAAGCAACAGTGTCTTTGGTCTGGAGAATTCGAGGTTAAAATGTGCCAAGCATTCTGAGCAAGTCATTGTACCAGACGTTTTTCAAATGTAAATCCCAAAGGGTATAGGTTACTCGCAAATGGCTTATTGTACCCAGAACTGGCAGGACCTTTTGGAATAGGGCATAACAAGTCAGCCGTATAGCCATTTGCGGTAAGTACAGAAATATATATCTTTACCGAAAAAACTGACGATCAGCTTTTGATCTTATACCAAAAGCTGGTAAATATATGTATTTTCATTATATTCACTAGGTAAAGAACTGAAAACGGGGTAATTTTTTTCTCAGGACTTATATAGGGATGCAGTGGAATATGCCCGAAATTACCTACGCCTGTATATCACGATGTGCATGCCTTCAAAGTTTTCGGTATTACACATTATTTTGTGGGCCATGAGCTTGACGGTTTGTAAAAAAAAAAAGAAGGTTGGAAGCCGTGAGGAAGACCTGGACCTTGTATTTCTGTGAAATTTGAGTGAAAATTCATCGTAGGCACTTAAACTGCTCCTTCTTGCAATGGAGCCAAGCCATCCTTTTTCAATGGCGATGGGGTTCAGGACTTCTTTTAGGGGTTAATCCTCTTTGGATGGAATTTTGTTCTCACAGTCGCAGGTTTACCTCAAAAAAAGTGAACTGAAAATGAAAGACGATGAAGTTAGATTTAATTAATGTGTGTCTCAAACACCTTGGAGAGTCCTGAGTATTTTTCATGTGTTTTTTAAGCGTATGGGCGTAATTATCACTGGGGGCTATAGTTGTTACTGGTCCACAAGCGTAGATAGATAAGGGCGTTCTAGTCAACAAACGAGAGTCCCAAAACGTAAGAGAGTAAAAATATGCAACACCAGAAAATAGACTGGCACATGACACAACCAGTCAAGTACCGCTTTAGTACTGCATCAATAAACTATGTCAACATGGTTAAAAGAAACATCTGGTACCTACAATCCCGGCCAAAATGGTTGGGACACTTGGAAATAACCTTAGCCTTTCACGGTTACCCACTCCCCCGCTCCCCGGTCAATGTTGTTCTCTCCAGCTGATGGAGCACACACCGCGCAATGAGAGACATCATTGAGCGGGGGCTGGGGGGTTATTTGGCCAGGATTGTAGTCTCTATGCATGTCTACACATTTCCCATAATCATGTCACGAGAATACTGAAGGGTAAATCTTTACAAAAAGTTGGACATGTACCAGTCTAGTCTTTACAGGCTTCAAATTTCTGACTGATTTTGTTTTTGCGTGTTTTTCTGCACACAAGGTCCCAGTCTGATGTCAGGGTTGAGATTTTGTCAGGCGTTTTTTGGGGGGTTTTTTTTCCCCCATTTCAAGATTTAAAAAGAAATATTTTTTATTTAACTGAAAGCGAGGTAAGCTCTTTATTTAAGGGATTTGCGAGTAGAAATGAAAGCAATGGAATTAAAGTCCATTAAAAATCAATACCAGTCTGCTCGATCCTTTTGGATACTTTTAAACAGGCCACATTATAAAATAAAATTGAAAGTGAGGCTTGGACCGCACTGCAATAATATAGTCAGGCACCATCCTATACAACAGATTACAATTTTTACAATAAATGCAGGGTACACGTTCGAACATGTTTTCCTCGTGAATCAGGCCCCCAGAGCCGATCGATATACATTTTACGTTCATTTATACAGCTATCGCGAAGTGAAATAATGTATGCAGTAAAAAAAATTGTCTTAGGCCAAAAAAAAAAAGTCTCCGGTTTCTAGTATGCGCGCGCGTCGCCGTAGCCATGCGCGTCGGCAAAATGAAAAAGTTTTTTTTTTAATGAAAGATGATATCCAAAAACCGCCAAACTCACTGGTTTGACTGGAATATTTAAGCTTTATGTGGCCTCTCTGGACTCCCATATATTTGCACTAAGTTTAGTCGGACACCATTTGCAGTCATCAGCACACATTTGAAGCAAAAAAGTCAGGTAAAAAAAAAAAAAAGCCGCGTCGCCGCACCACTTTTTGGGCAAGCTCCATACCAGAAACCGGAGACTTTTTTTTTTGGCCTTATCTATACTTAACACATAAATCACAACTCCAAACTCATCATTTACATTTTAGTTGATATCAAAGCAATACGGATATTGCTGAATTTTTATTAATTCATGTCTTTATTAAATATTCAAGGCATGTAACAGTGTCAAAACCTGGGACATTACTATCAAAACACCAGATGCCAAGGAATACAATGTGAACTGACATTTACATGAACAACAACACAGAAAAGTTTAGTAAGCTGCAAATTATAATAATAATATTTTAATTGAGCATATATAGGCGGGAACAGCAAAGAAAAGAAAGAAAAAATCAGTTGAATGGTGATGGAGCTCAAGTGGGGTTTACTCGCCTGGTGTGTCGATCTAGTTGGTTGAGTATTTAGAGTAGAATGTCACAAAATGATGTAGTTAAGGCTGTTTTCGAAAGGCGACTAATGAATTTTTTGGTTTCTTTTTTGGTTTCAATATCGCTCATCTTACCCCTTAGAGAATGAATGGGACCCAGCCGACATATACATTGTATAATGATTCAGCCTACATACAAAGGAAGCAGGCGTGGGAGGAATATCTGGGCTAGTAGTGCCCAAAGATTGGCTGCAGTCCGTTAGATTTTTTTGAGGGGGGCACATTTACAGTGAGAATTGCGGCCAATCATTAGCCTATTATTAAGGCGGACACGATAAGAAGGCGCTACTTGGTTTAAGTAGTCTACTGTATTTATAAAACCGCCCTCCTATTCTGTTTACCATCTCAAGCTTGGGATAATTGAAATGTAAATTGAATGGCGCTGATCGTGGCATGGTTCAGTGCATCTTTCCAGCGTAAGAAGTATAGAAGGCACTGCCTGGTTTAGGTAGTCTACTGTATTTATAAAACCGCCCTCCTATTCTGTCCACCATCTCAAGCTTGGGCTAATTGACATGTAAACTGAATGGCGCTGATCGTGGCGTGGTTCAATGCATCTTTCCAGCATAAGAACTATGGACTTTAATTAAACCGCAACGGCGACGTCAACTGATCGAGTTTTAGAAGTAGTCATTTAATGGTTGCAGGACCTTTTGGTATAGTGTTTAACATTTCGGCTATAATTATCTGACGATTCGTGGTAAGTAGAGATTTGTATATCTCACAGACAAAATCCATCCGTTGTCGGTGCAAAACTGCTAGCTGTTAGAAGTACGCTTTTCGATTTGTGGGCTCTATATTATTGAACTTGTTATTGGAGGCGGATTGGCAGCATTGCATTGTACATGACCCCAGATGATAAACTTGCAGACCGGAGCAAATAGCTTCATCAGACTCCTTCCTAGCAAAAAAAAAGTATCATACTCTCACGCGTATAAAAAGGAGTGCATAACGTATAATGTGTTATAAACCCCATTCAAACCAAGTTAGGCCGAAAATACTGTGTATGAGAGTCCCAAAACTAAGGTATTGAAAACATGCAATACAGAAAAATAGACTGGCACCTGAAACAACCCCTCAGTACTGCATCAATCAACTGTGCCAAAAGAAACATCTGACATGTCTGGTACTAGTCTTTCTTTCAGCACATTTCTCTATAGTCAGTCACCAGACTAAAGGCAATGAATGAAGAGGTCAGTCTTTCCAAACAGTTGGACCATGGTTGGACATGTACATGTCTAGTTTTTAGCCTTTCATGTGCAAAATATGGAAGAAAAATCTGACTTAAATTTAAATTGAGTCTTCAAACTTGGTTGGTGAAATACTGAGGACCTTTTCTTTGCCCTACGAAAACTTTGGAGAATTTTGCTGGCGAAACAAAGAGTGAGTAAAGTTAGCCTGATATCATTTGCATTTTTTTTTTTTTTTTTTTTTTTTTTGGGGGGGGGGGTTTAGCACTCGAGGTCCCAGTCTTGACTCGATATATGACGGTCAATTTCAAGAGGTCCAAACGGGGCTATCTTTTTTTCTCACGGCTTTTAGATAAGATAGGGGCCTACATGAGATTCCTCATGATACTAACAGGTACATGCATAGCTGAATAATAGGACCACACTACTTCAACTTTTGTAATTCACTATAGAAGGTAGTTTTGTTTAACTAAAGGCAATAATTACGCTGGTCTAATTTGATTTTGAAAAAAAAAAAATCGCCACGATTTTTACGCCATATGTTACACTCTATTTAGGCTATATAGTCTGGCGCCCAGCCGTCTAGCACCCAGACTTTGGCAAAGCTACGGAATGTAATATGCACGACGGCGCTCTGTTTTATCTCTCAGTGTGTCAAATATTGCCCCCTGCAAAAGAAAGACGTCAGTATGGTTTTAATCACAGAAACAATTATAATCAGACAATGTGTGTGTTACTTTGACTTGTTTCAGGAACAGAATGACAAACATCAAGCTGGTATTATCACAAGAGGGTGTTTATGAATAAGACATGGACCACGACGAAATCAGCCTATCAGGAAAGTCCAACCTAGAGGCCACGCCCACCGCGTCCAACGATAACACTCTGGTGATGGAGAAGAACCAATGGCAAGAGACAGTAGTCGATGACACGCCTACAATCAAAAGCAACCCAGCTGCAAGTGAGGGTGATTCTGCTGCCGCTCCGACGTCAAAGTTCACTTTCCACCAGAAGATCACCTTTCTTAGCGTGGCTCTGACCTCGCTCTCAACTTGGTCCACCTACTCCGTCATTGCAGTCTTTTTTCCGACAGAGGTGGGTGAAATCTGCATGAAAAATAACTGGTCATATTTTGGGGCGAATGAGGGCGCTATTCCACCATTTTCTGGGTAGTAGTTTTCAATGCAGTAGTATAGACCTTTCTTTGGTTTGCATGTTTTGCCAACCACAGGTTGGCAAACTATGGAAGGTCAACTTTTCAAAAATAAAGAATAGTTGTTTATGTTTTCAAATACAGAAGTCATTGTTTAAAATACAAAATAAAAAACAAACGCTACAAAAACTTACCCTTTCTTACATGATCAGGGTGTAAATTTATGCACTTTTTTGCAAAATCTGTTGCCTATCGCGGCTTCAATTTATGCCTTGAGGCAGCACATACAAAATGGCGCTCACTGTTTACAAAGAAAAGAAAGGTCTATAGGTAGCTGTACTTAAATTTATAAAATTCAAAATTGTACGAAATTGATTTTACAGTTGTAGCAATATGTAAACTTACGTCAACCTTGGTTACACGTTTAGGTAATCGTGTAGCTAAGGACCCCGGCCGTTCCATAACAGAATTATAACAGAATTTATGTTTTGGGACAAAATACCTCAACATTTGGCGATGATACAAGCGGGAAAACTCATGTTTTGTGTTTGCAATCATCTTAATAATTCGCTAAATAGATGCCATTTTTAATATCATCTTATACCTAATTTTGTGGAAAGATCGATTGGTTATGATTAATGAACGGAAGCTGTAAAATATTAGAGGTGTCCCAAACTACACGATTACTTACGTCTGTTTTACCCCCAAATGGACTAAACAGCGCCCTCATTTGTTCAGGAATTATGCCTATTGGAAGGGTTCTTTTACTCCCTCAGCGCCATCAGTGAGAGTTGCTTTTCTTGGTGTAATTAAATATATTTTAAGGTGCGTACTCGTGAGTATCAAGGAGGAAAAAAGCCCTGTTCTTGGCGAGGGCGCCCTTTGTAACAGGTTTATCCAATTTAAAAGGTGCCGTTGATCATACAATGTGGTAAGGCAACGCTTTTTTGCCAAAAAACTTTTTCAGAAACTTTGGAGTTTTTTTTCCCCAGTAATATGGTAAAATCATTGCTCTTTAAATTTAATATTTGATGAATTGCGATCATAATAGAAACAATCTGATTTTCTGTCATTGAACCATTTCTCCCAACATTTTTGCAGGCTGCAGCGAAAGGAATGTCACCAACGGTCGTCGGCCTTGTGTTCAGCAGCTTTTCCGTCGCGTCTGGAATAAGTGCGCCCATCTTTGGCAAAGTTGTGAGAGTTTTTTTTTTACATTTATTTACATGTATTTACATATTTTCTTGTTTAAAATATGTAAAGATTATATTTGGTCTTGGTCTTGGTACTTGTGCTGGTCTTAGTCTTGGTCATTGGCCTCTGCGTTGGTCTTTGTCTTTGTCTTGGTCTTGTTTTTAGTCTTTGTCTTGGTCTGGTTTTTGTCTTGTTTTTTGTCTTGGTCTTGGTTTTGGTTTTGGTTTCAGTGGTTCTGGTTCCTCAATTTTTCCCGTCATTAGGAACTTATTATTATTAGTAACTTGACTTATTATCCTCACTGGTCTCTCTTTCGTTTTTCTTATATAGCTGCCGCTTTTTGGTGCCCGTTTTGTATTTCTGGCGGGAGCGTTTGTTACCGGCGGTTGCAATTTATTGTTCGGGTAAGTTGTTAGTTGTAGGGAATATAATGTACTGTTCTCTTTTAGGTGTATCGAACCAAATTTAGACAGCCAGCCAAACTCCTATCAAAGAACGACGAGGGAGTCAGGAAGTAGCGTCCAAGCTCCACGTTTAATCGGCAGTGACAAAAAGGAATGAAACTGTGTAACAAGAAGTAGAAAACTGCAATAAGTATTGTGGCTCATAAGGCTATGAGCGCTTAGTGCACAATTCAAAGTTGATTAACACCACATAATCGTTAATCTCATAACATGCAATAATAAAGAAAAGCAGTGGTAATATATGTCAATGATTATATCGACCCTTTGAATAAAAGATAATACCTAGCAAAATAAATCTAAGCAAAAATAAAACTCAGATGTGTACATGTAAATCATGTGTCTATGTTACTTTCGATATGGCCGAGCGACATAGACAGTTTGTTTTCATAAAGTCTGAGTCCGAAAATAACCCTAACATACCTCTAATTTAGCTGCATATAGTGCATGACATAAACTTACAGACAGTGCTTTTACATGTGACTACATGCAGGGACGGCAGTTGATCGGGTGTCAATAAATGAGTTGCAAAATGCGGGAAACTTGCATAAATTTGTCATCAAACGTTACATGAACATGTTAGAAAAACTGGCTATAATTATGAAGTGATCAACACAGGTCGCTATTTCAGAAAACTGGACAAACGGTCCAGAACACCCCCCACTTAAAGTCTTTAAGATGTCACTACTACGGGAACATATATACACAAAGTTCGTCTACGACTTCTGCGATGGGTCTCACACTTGGTGGTACCTTGCGCGGTGACCTTCACCTCTAAGGTGCGGACCTTCCCATCGTCTCCTGCGCAGGTTGAAGTAACTACAGCGCCAAGGCCCACTCGTTGCGGGCAAGATGCTTGTCTTTCAAGAGCACCAGGTCTCCCTCTTGAAGGATTCCACGAGTTTCCGTCCACTTTCTCCGACCCTGAAAGGTGGGGAGATACTCGTGGCTCCAGCGGGACCAGAACTTGCTTGCGAGACTCTGCACTTGTCGCCACTGGCTCTTCACCATTTTCTTGTTTACCTGCTTGCGCAGCTCGCCTCAGACCGTATATGGCACTACCGCAGGGGATAAACAGTTTCCGAAGACGTGCACTTTCATGCGGTAATCAATGACATCCTTTGTGGTGTCGTTGTCTCTGTATACCACATGAATCTTAGGTAGTTGCGGTGGTCTTCTCTCACAACAAATGAGTAGAACATTTGCTTGATGTCAGCTATAATCGCTACAGGTTCTTTCCTATTAGAACTCCAAGCAGGCTATTGTTTAGGTCTGAACCGGTGAGTAGAACATCATTGAGGGAGTCTCCATTATGTTGAGGACTCGAGTCAAAGACTAATTTTGCTGGGTTTATGTGGATGGTATACTCCAAAGGATGGTACCAACACTCCTCTCCGGTTCTCAAAGGAGGAGCTAATTCAGCATGGTCGTTTTTGATCATCTTTTTAATGAAGCCAATAAACTGCTTGTTCATCTCTGGCTTCTAGCTGCGTAGTAGAGATAACAGACGGGCGAGAGCATGCTCCCGGTTGTTTGGAATATGATGCCTGGGCATTCTGAATGTGGAGTGTCATGGCCTAGCGGTTAAGAACACCGAACTCACGTTCTGGTGTTTCAGAGGCAACAGTGACGTGGGTTCAAGCCCGCAGGCGGACACTTGTGCTCTTAAGCAAGGCACTTAACCATTATTGCTTCGTCCTTCGGATGGGACGTTAAGCCGTAGGTCCCGTGTGTTGTGAAAATGCACTTAAAAGAACCCAGTTACACTTATCGCTAAGAGAAGGGGTTTGCCCCGGTATTTCTGGCCTCCTGTATAAACTCCCACGTGGAGTATTTAGGAGAAGAACCAACCAACCAAGAACCAACCAAGAATGGCAGTGGAGCTACCCAGCTGTTTGTGTCATCTTTCTTGAACTCTCCATCCATAATCTATATAAAAAATTGTGTCTTCAATGGAGAGAGCTGTCTGGTTGTCATCAGCTGGTCTTCTGACAGGGTTGATGAGTGTCCGGGATGAAACATCCTGCTGCTCCCCGCTGTACGTGAGTCACCTTCTATCTTAGGCACACGTGATTCTTGCATGGAGCCAAAAAAAGAGGGGCGTCCACTGTTAAGAACGTGGGTTCTGGAGCTGTTCACAGTTGGCACTTGTGCATCCCCAGTCAAACTTCACCGACCAAAACCCAGCCTAAAATCTAGGTGCGTGTAGGCCACTGAGGATCGATTCAGGCATGCTGGCAAGTCGTTCAGTCAAGCGGTACTAATCAGTCCCCTGCTGGTGGAAGGCATTCAGGTGCTAAAACTGCCCAAAGGAGAAAAAATCCGGAGATACGAACACCCTGATATAACAGCTCAATCCGGGTTTTACTTTTAACGAGGATTCATGGTCATGCAAGTCCAACTTGGGGATGTTTGGTGCTATACTTCAGGTGGGCGTCTTGAAAGGCTACGTCAGGTGTTTGGATTTCTGCTCTTTTTTTTTAGGATCTTGTTGCACTCGATGAGAGGGGGAGATGCATGCAGGCTTACTCCTCAATTCGCAGCTTCAATCTGGAAACCATCAGCTTTCCTCCCAGTCATTTCAGATATGACTCCTGCACAGGTTCTTAGGGAATAGGGTGATGGGCAGCAATTATTGCGTACATCTCGACAGCACTTTCAGGTTGTTTCTGTGGGTGCACTTTCACCAGGCATATTTTGGCGTAGGCCCTCATCGCATACCTCTGTGCATTGTGAGTTGAAAACAGGTGGGCTGGATTAGGCAAATTCCTCCTCCCCGCCATGCTGTGGTGTAGGGGTGGAGGCCTTCAGTGTCCAGGGAGCTGGACCAGAATGCATGGCCGTGCTGTGATGATCACTGTTGCATGTCAGTGGAATAATGCAGTCCTTTGCAAGACGATAGGATGATGCGTAGCACTTGAACCAAATTCAATTTTCTCTGACTGAGGAAGGCCCTTTGCTCCTCTATGGGCTTTGCTCTGAAAGCCCTGCATTTCTTGAGGGGATGAAGTTTTTGATGGATGGGGAAGCTTTTAGCGGGATCGCTCTTCTTTGCATAAGAGTCTGCACTCGATTCAGCCACTGTGGAGACATCTGTAATGTGTACGGATATTGGTGCTCTCATAATAGTGTTTCTAGTGGTGGGTTTCTCTGCTCTCACGCCACTGTTGTTGCTGGAGATGGTGAAACTTGGATCATTTCTGGATTTCTGATCATTTCTGAGCAGATGAATCCAGCAAAGAAGGAGAATAGGGGAAAGCAGGCATTGTGGGGTTTTTTGTACCTTGATTCCTTGGTGATCCATCTCTCCTGTAGGCCATGTGGTAATTTCTCAACTATGGGATTGACACCACGTGCCGTGTCCAGATAGCTAAGACCAGGTAAGTATCCGTCCTCCTTAATTGCGCACTGGACCTCCATGAGCAGATTACCAAGCTGTCTCAACTTGAGAGGATCTCTGCTGTTGATGCGTGGAAAACCTTCCAGTCTGCGAAAGAAGGCGCTTTCGATGAACTCTGGTGCTACGTATTGCTCTTTCAACCGTTCCCATGACTTCTTCAGAGCTGTTGTCGGGTCGTTTATAAATGTGCACGGCGCGGATTCTTTTGACGCTGTCTGTGACTGTTTCCCAAGCCCTTACACTAGTAGGTCGAGCTCTTCGCTTGGTGTTACACCCAGGTCCTTTGTCGCATTGTGAAATGATGATCGCGGGTCGATCATCGAAATATGTGACTCCTGTGTTGACAATTAAACTCAAGGAGTGCAAGATACTTGGCAAAGTCGTAACCTTGGTCTCCTGCAGGGGTCTTCTGGGGGAATTGGGACATGTCCGGTTTCCCACTGACGTCGCGAACTGCATTGCAAAGGACGACATGTGACTGCAGCATTGGCAGGATGCAGTGAAGAGGGGTCTGTTGTAAGCAGGTTCGAGGCTTGGCATTGACGAAAAACCGGTTTGAAATCTAGCTTGTTGCTGAATGTAGTCTTTCTTGCGCTGAGCGATGTCTACTGGAGGAAGTGGTGTGCTTATTTAGATGACCGACAATCCAGTTTTCAACTCCATGGCTGCTTTCAATGCCTCGGCTTGAGCCAAGGTTGCTGCTGCCTCTCTTTGGAGGCCCAGCAGTCCCAACTCTGCATCTAGTTTGGCTCTTTGCAACTTCATTTTTGCCTCTTCTTCAGCAAAAGATGCACGGACTCTCGCCGCCTCCACTTTGGCACGGACTCTCGCCGCCTCCACTTTGGCACGGGCTCTGGCTACTTCACTCAATGATGAAGATGAGCGAGTGACCCTTGAACTCGCCCGAGAGGCTCGATGATCATCGCATTTGTCTTCCATGATGATTTGCTCCCAAATCGGAAGAGACCGATAGACCGTCAACCGAATACAGCAATTTTGAAATTTGAGCGAAAAGGAGGGGGGGGTGATTTTGGGGTTGGAAGGAGCTGGAATTCAATTAACTCGCGCTGGGGGCACCCTACAGCACGTCAGCCGCAAACAGAAGGCTTGTTTTCAGGCCAGATATCAAACTCAGATAATTTTCTTCCCCTTTTTTGATGAAATACGAGTCATCCATCCTTCCTCAAGCCGTATATTCAAGTGATTTCGGAGAATGTTTTTTCAACGATAATGACGTCAGTTACTTTTGGGAGATCTGCAAATGATGGACTGGGATAGCTTTTACAGAGATTCATAAAAAAGAAACAATTTTGTGATGTGAAGTTTCTTTTGGAACAAAAGAAAGAAAAGTTTTGTTTTTAAAATGACTGTAGCTTGCGAGTGCCATTCATGAAAAAAACAGATTTTTAATTGGCTTGCAGTTTTCTTGAGAATATGGCTCCTGGAGCGACTTTTACTGCATTCTGTTTTGCCATACGGACCCTAGAGGGACTTGGATCGTCCGCCTGTAACACTGCCAGTGGTGCCATCATCAGCTTCACCTTTCCAGAAAATGTCGGCGCTGCAATGGTGAGGATTTAGTGTACATTTATCGTACCCCCTCAACGATGAAAAAAAGGAACGAGACGATAAAGAAAAGTAGACTGAACTATGGGCTCCGTACGCCAACAAAAGAGGGCGCATAATTACCTCTTTTGAGACCGGGACGGGACACACACCGTGCGCGTACTGTACTGGTTCGCGCGCGAAGTTAATACGTTAGAATTCACTTGCGATTGTCTCCGAAACTAATCCCCGCCCCAATCACTTTGGATACATTCGAAATATGCAGTGGATGGATCGGGAACCAGCATGGGCGTCGCCAGGATTTTTCTAGAGGGCGGCAAAACATATTTTTACCTAAAAATTCTTGTATTTCCCAACAAATGCTCGATGTATCAGTTTTAGAGGGGGGCAGGGACATTTTGCCCCCCCCCCCCCAACCAACTCATTAAATTTACACCACTATGACTTCGCGCCTCTTTTTCTTTCTTTTTTTTCTTCTTTTTTTTCTTCCTTTTTTTTTTTTTTTTTTTTTGCTTTTCCAGGGGGGGGGGGGCAAGCGCCCCCCTTGCCCCCCCCCCTCGCGACGCCCATGGGAACCAGTCTAGGTCACCCCAACTCTCCTTTTCTGGCCGTTGATGGGATACTTGTGCACGGAGCACGGAGTCATGTACGAATGGATGCGGACCGCGCAATATTGAGACCAACAAAACTTATTCCATAGGGTTGTCTAAGGGGCGTGGCTAACTTGCAAACGGCAATAGGTCATCTCAATAACCCTCTGTACTAATTACGTCACGCAATGTTTACCGCAGTGCATTGTGGGATTGAGTGGGGCTCGCCGCACCGCGATCGTTATAGAAAACATATAGTATTGTGTATTTGGGTCGGATTTATTTAAGTTTGCGCCACAAAAGCTATCGAAAATGACCTTCAAATGTGATAAAACCGAGTCTTAATTAATCGAAACTATTTTTCAAGTCGATGATTCATAAAAATGACGGAGCACGCGCGCGTCGTACGCGCGTGCTCACCACGGTCGGACATTTTGTTCCCGCGTGTCCGACTTAAATCACGGTTGTGTAATTGGTCATAAAAATGGTCAAAGCACCACAGGGCGGGGCTTAATGGATCGATTGATTCAAATGGATCAATTTATTACGCACGATCATATAATGTGCACCACTAATTAGCCGCCGCGCTCACGTGCGCTCTTATCTTCAATGAAGATATACACGACCAGGGCTAAATTTCACGGCGCTGCTAAGCACACGTTTTTCTGCTAACTGAGCTTCCGTCTATTTCATGCAGACCGTAAGCAAAAACACAGCAAAAGGCACGCTTACTTCAGAGGAAAAATTTGCTTAACTCAGTGACGTAACAATAGAATCTCCATGCACGCGCGACCGTTAGCACACACACGCCGTGAAATAGTGCTTAAGGTAAGCACATTTTTCTCCTATGCTAAACACAACTTTTCTGCTAACTGTTAAGCAGCGCCGTGAAATTGGGCCCAGTGCCCATATTTTCCACGCGGACTTTACGCGCTATAGGTGTGTCCTTCACTGTATTAACATGGTGATGTATCATCTTACTATAGCACTTTAACAGTATATCTTTGCAGATATCACGGCTTCTTTACCACAGTGTTCTCTCTCTTCCGAACGTAGAGTTTGTTAGAATGTGTCATCGGAATGTCGTTTGCAATTGGACCTGCAATGGGTGGACTGATCTATAATGTGAGTAGGCCTATTATCAATTGGGACTTCACCCAACTAAATGAAACCCTAGTCACCAGAGCTCATCATTTTCACTCACAACCAGCAATCACCACCAAAATGTGCACCACCGTCACTAAGTCCACACGCACCACTTTGACCTTATCCATCACTTCACCACCAACCCCAATCATCGCCATCAGCACCAGCAAGCCAGTTTTTAATCATCAATTCGTCATTACCGTTTCACGTGCTAACACTCATGCGCTGGTATACAAATACAACATGGTTTTTGATTGTACACTATTTGGATAAATTTTAACATTTATTTTAATTTAACGGGACAAACAGAATAACAAGTTATTGTGTCATTATTTTAATATTCACACAAAACACTGGATTTATTATAATTGTCCAAAATTTCAGCCAATTTGTCCTCAGTAAAAATTGCAAAGCGAACACCGCCGGTCGCCATTTTGATGTATACCGTAATAGACTAGTAGGTATATCTTGCAGGCCTGGGTCGGCATTCTCTGATCACAGACCCATGTTTATCGATCGCCATGGTACGCACATAAACCGTTGGTATAAGGCTGCCACCCAGGTGTGTGATAGTACCTCCCTGTTTTTTGCGAGTCACGCACGCGTGCGGAGACGTGGGGAAATTGTAAAAACTGTCACACGGTTGAGTTGCTGGAATTATAAGCAATGAAATGCCGTGGTTGCCTGATGAATATTCATGAGGTTTAGTAATAGGCGTTTACTTTGTGAAAACCGCGTGATCTACAATTTTGGTTTCACACACTATTAACACCCGGTTGTGCGCGAGTACATGGGACACTGACGCGGAATAGAATGATTTTTGGTTTTCACGAACTAAAGACTCAAGCATATTGCAGAAATACATTTCGGAGAAAAACGCTTTGAAATGTTTGACACGAATTTAATCCATCCATAATACGTGTGGGCTTGCACACATATTTAATTAAAAACCCTTTTACTGAAGAAATTAAGATCAGTGTTAGTTTGTGAAAATGACAATGTACCAAAGTATCAATAATCGTTGATTCACCTTAAGTTTATAAATATGACGATTAATAAATAGACAGTAAGCAACATACAAGAAAAAGAAAAAAAGAGTATTTTCATTTATTCGGAGCTTTCCCAGAAAGATACTCACAAATAGTTTAAAATACCAAAATATGAGAGAAAAATGATCAGCACGAACATGATGGGAAAAACAAACCAAGACAGTGTGAGTGGTTTTGTTGTTGAGCAATTTGTTAATAACTATCATGAATATTCATGTTTTGTTTCTGAACAGGCGGGCGGTTTCAAGCTCCCGTTCTTTGTTCTTGGAGGGCTGGTCTTGGTCTGTTTTGCAATCAATTACTTCCTGATGCCCGATCATGGTAAGGTTGAATCGAAAAAGAAATAATGAAAGTGACTTTACCTCTAATATAGTCGGCTATCCATGCAGATAATTTAATTACAAGGATGTTTAATTTTAATATTTAAGTATCATAATTTGTTTATAGCCATTTAGTATCATATGGATGCACACACGACGATGCCATGACACGACGACGCCATGACCACGCCAATAACCACGTCCATGTATCGCCCCATGGCCACGCCTATTACCCACTGATCTCTATATAAAGACTGGATAGCTAATAAAGAGCTGCACAATGTACGAATTTGACGCCATATTGGTGAGACCGGCTGGTGATCTACAAAGGACAAGTTGCCGTCTTTATAGACAGCATGATTTCTTTTGTAACGTCGCGGTTCACTTGACTTATATTTTGGCCACCACCACTGACCAACTGACCACGGTTTACTACAATTTTTCTTACGTCGTGGTTACTTTTATAATGCCGCAAATCACTTTTTCGGCGTTTTTGAAATAATAATCACTACGGAAATGTGTCCTTTTTAGAACATCGTAATATGTGTACGTGACCAAAATGCGCGTCAACTGTTGATACAACGCGCGCGTATTTACGCGTAGAACGTTCGTATTATACGCGGCCATCTTCGTGAGACCGGGGGCGAATTGGTCAATATGCAAAGTCTACTGTGTGAATGTTGTATGCATATCCGCTATCCAGTCTTTATATAGAGATCAGTGCTATTACCACGCCCACGCGAGCAGCAAATTGTTTTGTCTCGCCAAAGGTAATTTTGTGTATACCAACCGGGCGCGGCACATACAACAGCGATCACCAATCGCACGAGTCTATAATTATGTTCGGGTTCGTCCATATGAATTTAACGAGGGATAAATATACTTTTTTTTTCAAATAGTGATTTATACCAAATAAATAAAACACTGACAATTAGTGTGAAACCACGCTTTTGTTTGATAGCGAGTGAACATGAGGAAAGTGGGTCAATGGTGCAAGTTTTGAAGATACCAGCTATTTGGGTGCTGTTACTTTTCCTTTGTACAAGCACGGTCGGTTTCTCATCAATGGACCCAGTATTGTCGCCTCATCTTCAACAGGTACGTTGCTATGGTTACGAGATAACGACCAATCCAACGAGCTTATATGATACATCAAATGTATAGGTGTTTGAGGCGGATATGTGTTACGGGATAATGGCTAAATACCCTAAATACAAAACCAAATGTGTTTAGATAATAATTTGGGTGTAAAGTTAACACGTCATGGGAAAACTTGCTAATTGTAAAAAAAACCACAGGATTGTAAAAACAACCAAGCAAAGTGACTGATCCCGATCATCGGGGTAATGCTATACGATAGCACTGCCGGCTCACTAATGAGTCATTGAGTCAATCATTGAGTCAGTCAGTCAGTAAGAGTAGGACATTAGGCTCAGTTGGCAATGTTTAGCACTGTTGTTGGTTTGAATTTTCTTCACAGCTTGGTTATGGCGTTGTTGGCAGAAGCTTAACGTTCGCAGCCTTTGGAGCCTTCTACGCCTTCTCTGCGATCCCGTTGGGTTACATCGTTGATAAAAAGGTGACTTCTCACTTGTACATCAAACCAGAATTCGACTTATTCCTGTTAAACTTGTCAATGTAATAGTTCTTGTTGATTGAAACCTGCAGACGAATAATGTAAAATTGTATGTATGTATGTATAAATGCCTGTTAAAATAAAAATTAAATGGGTATTGAATTTTATGTTTTCCAAACATGGCAAAAATGATAATAATGTTCAATTTTTGAAATAAATTTATATATTAATTTTGATTGCAGGGGTGCACCAGAACCCTAATGGTTTTGGGAGCGTTCGGCACTGTGATAGGTTTCCTTTTACTGGGGCCTTCTCCCCTCCTTAACATTACTCCGTGAGTATTAAATAATTGTTTCTCAATAACAGTCCCCAAAAGGCTCGTTGAAATGAATAAATAACTGCATTTGCCCTCAAGGGGACCGAAAAAGCGTTCGTCTTAACCGAATTCTCATTTTGTCAACGCGTATCGTATTAAGTTTGTTTTCCCTCATAGTGCACACATAGGTTGGGACTGCTGATCTCTATAATTATAACGACTATAGATAGCTGATACCATTGATCTCCATTGGTAAGACTGGATGGAACACATCGCCCTCAATCTTGTGCACGAACGCGTAGTCATCGGTGAGGGTTTGAGTTTGAAATGCGTTCGTCGCACACTGACCATGCAGCACGCGCACGTCACGCATGCGCGGTCGCAAACGTTAAACCCACACTGACGTGGTTCGCGCAAAAACTTAGTTTACGAAAACTCCATAGTGATGTTTAAGGGACGAAGCTAACTCGCAAACGGCGATAGGTCAATTCATTGTGCGGCTCTTTATCTGCTATCCAGTCTTTATAGAGATCAGTGGTTGGAACTTGCAAAATATGCTCGTTTAAACCGGAATCTCGTCCTATAACCAGAGTCGACTGTACATACTTGCAGAGTCGTTATTCTGAGTGGTGATTTAACTTATTAGAATGTTTTGTTTAATATAGTTCTTTGTTTTACAGATCCGTGGTTTTAATTGGTGTGGTTTTACCATTTATCGCGATTATGCTAGCCATGATGACTATCCCAACATTGCCAGACATGCTCATCACAGCAAAGTAAGTCCATTTATCTATGGTGTGTGTGTCTCATCGAATTGTATACAATGTACACGCATTTTGTCCATTTAAGTACACCATCCAAAAATTATGTGAGCCCAGGTACCTCTTCATGAATGGTACAAAATAAAAAATGCGGGACCATTGAGTGCCATCTTCCTCCACGCGCATATAAAACATTAACATTTACTCTCAAAACTGTCACTGACTGGAAGCTTTTAGTCTTTGAGATATTGTTTCACTCTTTCTTCACTTTGTCCGTGTTAACAACCAGATGGTATGGAGTTCCTGATAATCTGGGACTGATCGGTATTGTATCAGGTCTGTGGAATGCAGTCATGTCTTTCGGGTACGTCAGTCAATCACGGATCCTAGACACCAGGATAAACGACTCGGACGCTCCAGCCAGACGGAATTGTGGGGTGATAGCATTGTGTTCCCATCATCCCTTTTTCTAAAGATTCTCTTCTGGGGTGATGTTTTTCTATTGTGAAAATAGTTGGGTGATGTGTCCTGAAAGGAACATCACCCTACAAGGGGGTATGGTCAGAACGGCCCAACTCCTGGTTAGACGCGTGATAACGGCCCGTACTGGTGGTAAATACCATGAATACTTTTCAACAAAGACCACTGCGCGCGGTGGCTTTCAGATTTGCAAGGCTCTGCGCCCGATCTGGCCTCGATGTCTGTCAAGCCAGCGAATTATATTTTTGAATATTCATGAGTCTACGTTTTTGGTCTTTATTATTGAATTCTGATAAGTGATAACTACGTACATAACCATGGTAATGCCGAGCACAATATCTTTAGCTTTAAGATGAACAATGAAATGTCGCTTTTGTTTCATCGGTTCGGCATCACATCTCTCTAAAACTTTTTAATAAAAGCCTCATCAAAAAAGAAATTTTGGTAAACGATATTCTCCTCGAAATTTGACGGTTATTTACCGGGTAAATACTTCATCTATGACGACAAAAACTGCACAATACCATTTGTTATATCCTGAAGTATTTATTTCTTTAAAAATTTGGAACATTTATATCTTAAATAAGAAGTAGTTTTGCTTACAGTTTTATGAATATTTCCGTTTAAGATGTCATGCAAAAACCCAACACAATGGCACATCTGGAAAATTCGCGATTAATGCCCATTATCACGCGTCTAACCAATTAAGGCAAGTCCGCTCAGTGCATTTTGTACTGGAGCTCAGAACAGTCGTTTATCCTGGTGTCTAGGATCCGTGAGTCAATTACATTAAATGCTGAAGCTGTTAGTACATCTGCTGTTGCTGCTATTGCTTAAAGTGATGTTGCTGCTGCTACTTTGAATTTGTTGTAGCTGCCGTTGTTGCCGCGTTGCTGTTCTTGATGCTGTTGCTGCTGTTGCTGCTGGTGCTGCTGGTGCTTGTGCTGTTTCTGTTCTTGCTGCTGACTTCAGCTACTGCTGTTTGCAGTTGCTGCTAGTGCGACTGCTGCTGACTCCTGCTAGTGCTGCTGTTTGTTGTATCGCAGCTGCTGTCGCTGCGTCGTTGCTTTTGTTGTTGCTGCTGATAATGCTATACCTGTTTCAGCTGCTTCCACCGCTGCTGCTCCATTTATTGATGATTCTGCATTATTGCTGCTGATGCAGCTGATGTGGACCCTGCCAGTGCTGCTGTTTTTGGTATTGTTGCTGCTGTCGCTGCGTCGTTGCTGTTGTTGTTGTTGCTGCTAATGCTATTCCTGTTTCAGCTGCTTCTACCGCTGCTGCTCCATCTATTGATGTTTCTGGTATTGCTGCTGTCGCTGCGTCGTTGCTGCTGTTGATGCTGCTGCTAATGATATTCCTGTTTCAGTTGCTGCTTCCGCTGCTGCTCCATCTGTTGATGGTTCTGCATTGTTGATGCTGATGCAGCTGCTTCTTCTATTGTCGCTGTGAAAAAACGTGAGGTTGAAAGTTATCCCGGTGAGATTTTCCCGTGGTTTATTCAAAATCACGCACAGGAATGATCTTGGATGATTATGGGATAACTAGGAATGGGATTTTAGGCAACCTGGTTTGTTGTAAATGGGAAAACAGGTCAAGTTTGGATCAAACGCTGGAACGGAAGTTCAACGGACATAAATGTGATTGGAAAAAAGGATATTATTGAGGGCGCCCTACATGCTATCCAGCAGTAAGCCAAATGAATATGCAAACCACAAGAGGGCGTTGGTCAGCACAACAATACATCTACTACTTTCTGACACAGCCGCCCCTAAATTTGGGAAACAAATTTATAAATACAAAAGAAAGCATGTTGTGAAACCATCCAACTGTTCATCAACCTATGAGGTCGGAGCGTCCTTGAGTTCATCGTTGTTGCTCATCTCAGGGAGTTGAATCAGCCGAGCTACAGGACGTGTGTAGACCTTGTTTCTGACTCTCACGTCGGCACTCCGGACACGACCATCCGGTCCAGGGAAGGTTTCAATAACTCTGCCGATAGGCCACTGCGCCCGAGTGAGATTCGGGTCAATGATCATGACGACGTCGTTCTTGCACAAACCCACCACATCTCTTTGCCACTTCTGACGACTCTGAAGTGAAGGTAGGTAGAACTTGGAGAATCTGGTCCAGAAGTGGTCTGCAAGAACTTGGCTATGCTTCCACTGACGTCTGCCCAACAGGTCTTTGGCTGGATAGACAACTTGAGGTAAAGCTGGGTCGTAGCGCCCCATCAGAAGGACATTCGGTGTGACAGGGTCAATGTCGGCAATGTCTGAGGATGTGTAGCCAAGAGGCTTCGAGTTGAGAATTCCTTCGACCTCGATGAGTACGGTGCGAAGGACTTGCTCTGGTACCGTCTGATCATTGAGGACAACTCGCAGGCCATACTTGGCTGACTTGATCTCTCTCTCCCACAATCCTCCAAAATGTGGGGCATTTGGAGGGTTGAAACGAAATCTTACTTGGTGTTTGGCAAGCTCTTGCTGTAGGGCTGGATTCATCGCTGAGAAGGCTTCCTTCAGCTCGGAAGCACCCCCTTTGAAGTTGGTTCCGCAGTCCGACAGCAGCTCATACGGCTTCCCCCTTCGGGAGGCGAATCTTCGGAAAGCCATCAGAAAGGCATCGGTGTCAAGACTCTCAAGTAGGTCTAAATGCACTGCTCTCGTTGTCATGCATTTGAAAATGATGCCCCAACGCTTCTCTGTTCGCCTGCCTATCTTGACAGTCATCGGCCCAAAGCAGTCAACGCCTGTGGAGTAGAATGGTGGCTGCTGGATTCGGAGGCGGGCAGAAGGAAGATCCCCCATCTTAGGGACACTTGGAGTGGCTCTCCACCTCTGGCAGTCAAAACATTGACGCTGATGTTTGCGGACAGCCTGTCGACCACGCAGAATCCAGAATCTTCTTCTGATTTCGGCATGGACACGTTCTGGACCATAGTGCATGAGTCTCTTGTCAAAGTCCTGGATAAGGAGCTTAGTTACAGGATGTGCAGGGTCGAGCACAATTGGATGCTTGGTGAATAGCGGGATTCCTTCAGCATGACGCAGCCGGCCCCCAACTCTGATGACTTGGTCATCTCCATCCCACTCTGGCGAGAGCTGCAGCAGTCTACTTCCTCGAGGGAGCTCCTTACCATCCTTGAGGGTACCCCACTCTTCGGGAAAACTGGATTTCTGGGCTCGTTGGAATAGGTGAAGCTCAATTTCTGCTCGCTGATCAGCTGTTAGTTCAACAGGACCATCATCCTTCGCCGCCCCGTCACAGAGCTGCTTAGATGCCTCGATGAGCTCATCCATAGATTTGTACTTCTCCAGGTCTGGGATGTCAGCCAGTTCCACGGTCACTATACCGCAGAAGGAGGATTTCTTCAGCTCCGAGGAATCCTCCGCTAGGGCAGGTGGGAAGGCTGGCCAAAGATCAGGGCTTCCGGATAGGAATGGTGGCCCGTCTCGCCATCTGCAGGGTTGACTGAGTGACAGCAGACTTTTCCCTCTCGTCAGATCATCAGCTGCATTATTTTTCGTGTCAACGTAGCGCCATTGGTCCACGTTAGTCAGGGTCTGGATCTGGGCCACTCGGGTCCCCACAAAGACTTTATACCTACAGGACTCCGACTTCAGCCATGTCAGGACTGTCGTAGAATCACTCCAGAGAACAATATCTTCTAGGGGTAGAGTCAACTCTTGTTGAAGGAGACTGGACAATTGAGCCCCTGCCAAAGCGGCCGAGAGCTCGAGGCGGGGCATGGAGAGCTGTTTCTTTGGCGCAACTCGGGACCTGGCCATTACAAAGCTGGTGTGTATGGTATGCTTCTCATCTTCCGTCCGGAGGTAGGCGACTGCACCGTAGATCCTCTCAGACGCGTCACAGAAGATGTGAAGCTGGCGACTGGCTGTTTCTGGGTTGACATCAGGGGGCGTGTAACATCTAGTTAGTTTGATGACAGACAGGTTTGGTAGCTCGAGTTCCCAGGCTTGCCATCGGTCCATAATCTCTCCGGGCTCCAGGGCATCGTCCCAGTCACGTTTGGTCTTCCATAAGTCCTGTACGATAACTCTGGCTCTGGCAGTGAATGGTGTGAGGTACCCATTTGGATCATACTGGCTGGCTAAGGTTTTGTACATGTTTCTCATGTTCAGGCAATCATAGTTGACTACCCGGTGCCGGTATTGCAGATCATCTGTGCTACAGTCCCACTGGAGTCCGAGCATGGGTTCGGCCAAGTCTGTCTCTCTAAACGTTAGCCACAGATCACAGCCATCTGAACGTGCTTCAGGAGGGAGATCGGCTACAACGTTGGGTACATTACTGGCCCATTGACGAATCTCAAAACCACCCTTGGCAAGCAAGTCACGCATGTTGTGGACGAGAGCCTTGGCTTCGTCTTCCTGTGGTACACTGACTAGGCAGTTATCGACGTAGAACGATCTATCCACTGCATCAGCAACTTCAGCAGACTTCTCTCGATGATCAAAGGCATGCTTACGTAGCGCATAAGTGGCGCAACAGGGGCTGCATGTTGCTCCGAAGGGTAGTACCTGCCACTCATAGATCTTGGGTTCGGTGTCGGTCTTCATGTTTCTCCACAGGAAGCGGAAGAGACATCTTTCGGTGGGCTGCAGCCTTACTTGGTGGAACATTGCCTTAATGTCCCCTGACACTGCTACAGCATGTTGGCGGAAACGCAACAGTACCCCAAGGAGCGATGCACCGAGGGATGGACCAGGAAGTAGGTGCTCATTGAGTATCTGGTTCTGATACTGGAAGGAACAATTAAACACAAGGCGAAATTTCCCGTTGTGTTCGACTGTGTGATGCGGAATGTACCAGGATTCTTCAGACTTTGCAGCATCTTCCACTGCCAGGATTCTGACGTAACCAGCATCTACTAGCTTCTGGATCAGCTCGTTGTGTTTCTCTGCCAGCGATGGTCGGGTTGCAAGGCGCCTTTCTGTTCTTCTCAGGGTTGGAAGGACAGCCTCCTTTGGAGCATGGAACTTGGCGTTGTCAGTTCGCAAGAGGGGAGTTACATAACGCTGAATTCCTCCCTCATCCACACGGGCTGTCTTGTCTTCTAGAAGTTGCACCGCACGTTGATCTTGCTTGGAGCGAACGACGTGCTTTTCGTTCACATAAGGCACAACATCAACTTGCCAAAGTTTCTCAACGTGCCTCATCAGCTCGGCTGTCTCTGATTGGGCTGAGACTTTGAAGCACCGTTGCTCACCAGCTTTCTGCTTCAAAATGCTGGCTGGTCCATGGAGAGTCCAACCCAGTCTTGTGAGAGCGGCTGCCGGTGTCCCACTAGGGCCAAACCTGATAGGTCGTCTTGGGGCGATGAGGTCAACGTGATCTGACCCAATTAGGATGACTGGTCGAGCTCTATCAACCAAAGGCAGTGGCAAGTCACGAAGATGTGGGTAGCACTCTTGCAGTATCTTGACTGGATACGTGTATTCGGACAGGCATAGGTTACCAGCAGCAAAGACACCATCCAGGGAGAACTTCACATCTGGCTTGTCATGGGGTGACACAGACAGAGACACGGATTGACCTTGACAGATGACAAGGTCTTCTCTGACTGTTCGTAGATGCATAGTCTCTGGTGTTCCACTGAGCTTAAGCTGTTGTGCTGCATCTTGAAGGAACATGGTTCCCTCAGATCCATCATCAAGTACTGCATAAGAGTCAATGTTGCTGTCTGGACCGTGGAGGGTAACTCTTACCACTTTCAGCATGGTATTGCATGGTCGGCTAGGTTTGTCCACATAAACGGACCGGCTTGTAGGTTTCACCATGAAAACACTTGTAGCCTTCTGGGCAGCCTCATGCAGAACTGTAAGGTGCACTTCCTTACACTGGTGGCATGGTTTCTTCAAGGTGCATGCATCGGGTTCATGCTTGCGGCAACACTTCCAACAGCGTTTATTCTCTTGGATCCACTTCACTATCTCCTCGGTAGAAAGTGCCTTGAAGGTCTGACAGCCATTCAAGAAGTGATCTTTCCCATCACAGAACGGACAGAACGGCTTTGGCTTCGGCTTGGTGTATCTGGGGCTCACAGATTTCTCCTGCTTGCCTCCTGTTAGGAATGCAGATGTCGGAGTTGGCTTCTGCTTCACCGGTCGATGATCTCGGTTTACTCTGGAACTACTCTGATCTTGGATGTGACCGGTAACGGCTTGTTTGGCGAGCATCTGCGACTGTGACTTCAACTTCAGCCACGCGGCAAACTGGGGAAGAGTGTACGTTTCACCTGAGTTCGGCTTGAGTATACCCTTCTTGATGCAGTGCTCTATGAAACTGGTGCGGAGACTCGGGGAGAGTTTGCTCAGCAGCTTGTCTACATGTGAGCCACATCGAAGCTCCACTTCGGCTTGGCCGTCTAAGGATTCAAGCATGCCCTCCAAGGAGGATACATCGAGACAGAAGTCTTCAAAGGACTCGGTATCGTTGTGCTTGATTGGCGGTGTCATCATAATTGCAGCTATTTCAGTCTGCACCAGCTGACGGGGTTGGCCATATTTGTCGCTCAGTGCTGCCAATGCCTTGGTGTATGGCTGGCTGCTATGGAGGTAGGATTTTGCAAGCTTCAGGGCCTTGCCGTCCAAACTGCCGATTAGCACTTGGTACTTGTATTGCTCGCTGAGATGCGGGTGAACATTAACCAGGTTCTGGAGAGCAATCTTCAGCAGCGCAAAGTCTTTCTCCCTACCACTGGAAAACTTCGGCAGGGTTGGTTTCGGTACACCGAGGGATGATGCCATGAGGAGATCCATGAGGTTGGTGTTCACTGATGCAATTTCTGGAACAGTTCCCAAAGTGGGAGGAGATGTTGGCGTGATGACTGATGACGGTGGTGCACCGGGGTTGCAGACAGGAGTATGATTCGACTGTTGGAGCGTGTTACTGGTTGGGAACACTGGTTTCAGGGAGTCACATCCTGTTTCCTGCAGGGTGCTCACTGGAGTAACTGGTTGCTGTCCAGTATTAGAGCAGGTGGGTGCACTGGGAGGTGAACCATTCACAGGGACTTGTGAAGTGGTCAGTACAGTCTGGTCAGTCTCGGCTACATCTGGGGTGTTCAAAGATGTATTGCTCAGTTGGCTGGGAGCATGGAATCTCACTGATGTCATGGATAGCTGGATCTGCATCCTCTTGCAGAATGATTGAACAGCCTCGGCATCTCGTAGTTCCAGTTCGGCTTGACGCAGTCTTCTTCGTCTAGAAAGACGCGTCGTAATTGTCTCTCGCTCTCTTAGCGCTTGACGTTCAACTTCCTCAAGCTGCATACGTGCTGCTCTGGCTCGGTCATCCTGCTCTTTGAGTTGTGTGTCGTATAACTCATCTTCGGCTATCTGCCGTTGGAGTTCCTGAAGCTGGGATTGCTTCCTCATGGCGGTGAGCTTCGCAGCTTGTGAGTCGCTCAGTTGGGAGATGTGGGAACAGCTTGACCGGCTTGAGTGATGTGAAGTTGTGGAGGAAGTGCGATGGCTACCAGTAGGGGAACCAAGTGCAAAATCTTCGAAGCGCTTGGGTGGACGAACAGTCCGGGATGGACGGGTGGATGTTGGCAGTCGATCCATAGGTCGCTGGTTCGAATCCGGCTCGAAGGACCATGAAAAAACGTGAGGTTGAAAGTTATCCCGGTGAGATTTTCCCGTGGTTTATTCAAAATCACGCACAGGAATGATCTTGGATGATTATGGGATAACTAGGAATGGGATTTTAGGCAACCTGGTTTGTTGTAAATGGGAAAACAGGTCAAGTTTGGATCAAACGCTGGAACGGAAGTTCAACGGACATAAATGTGATTGGAAAAAAGGATATTATTGAGGGCGCCCTACATGCTATCCAGCAGTAAGCCAAATGAATATGCAAACCACAAGAGGGCGCTAGTCAGCACAACAATACATCTACTACTTTCTGACACGCTGCCTCTTCTGCTATTGCTGTTACTTATTTTTTTTTCTTGGAATGATGAAGCTGCTGCTGTTCCAGCGTCTGAGTTTATGCTGCTTTCGCTGCGCAGTTGCAGCTGTTGCATCTGCTGCTGTCTGCAGTTGTTGTGGCTGCTGCTGATGTTGCTTCTGTTGTTGATCGTGCTGTTGCTGGTGTTGTTGATGCTGGCTTCCGCTAGTGATGTTTGCAGTTCCTGCTGCTGTTGTTGTGGTTGCTGTTGCTGCTAATTATATTCCTGCTTCAGCTGATTGCTGCTACCACTGCTGCTCTATCTATTGTTTTGTATTGTTGCTGCTGTGTCTCTCATTGTTGCTGCCTCTTCTGCTATTGCTGTTACTTTTTTATGTTATTGTAGCTGTGTCTGCTGATGCTCCTGCTCCTGTTTCTGCTAATATTGATGCTGCTTGTGATGTTTTTGCTGCTGCTGTTGCTACTGATTATGCTGTTGCTTCTGCATATTTGTCATTACTTGCTTATGTTGTGTCTGCTGTTGATCGATTTTGCTGCTGCTATTGAAGCTGCTGCTGCTTTTGCTGCTGCTCCTGTGGTTGCTGCTGCTGCACCAAATACATGTATTGTTTTTTGGGGTTTTTTTTCAAACTAGTGCGTACAAATTTTTTTTTTGTAACCGGAAATATGTCAGTTGAATTCGTTTTGGCAAGTTTTGCATATTTACATTCATGTTTGAAATGAAAAGGGTTGTATGTTCTGATTAAATTGAAACTTCATTCATTTTTATTTTGATAGAGCAATGCTGGGTCCTATTGTCAGTGGTACCTTGACTGATCACTACGGATTTGAATATTTTACAACAGTAATCGCAAGTTGGTTTGTTGTTGTTATGCTGATCGGTTGTTTCTTTGGAGTCTGGGAGTACAGATGTGGAAAGGGGTAAGTGCTCCAACTGTTTGTCATGAATATGCATATTTTTTTAGGGCGGGGCGCAAAGCCAATTATAAATAGAGCAATTAAGCCCCGCCCACTGCACACGTGTGCAGCTAGCGAGTGCACACCTCCAATTCGGGCGATTCACAATGCAGTGCTCCATCAAGGGTTTGCCACAGAGAGTTCGTTTTTCCCAGTGCATTGTGGGAGATTGTCGACATATCCACAACGCTGGACATTTGAAATTGTTAGTTTTTCCGGTTAGTAGTTTCGTAAGCATAAGATTCGCGTGTATGTTTGCCCTTTTCTATTCATTTTAGCAATAATTATGATTGTTGACACATTTAAATGAGACAAATCCAGGGTTAAGATCGCGCAAGGCATGATGGGGAACAACATGGCGCAGAAAGATCTTACCACTGGGGAACGAGGTTGCTGAATTAATTCTTAATTGCATGTTCGAGACGTGCGCATCATACGTGTGGGCTCGCATGTCTGATTTGCTGTGCACGCGGCTGTGGTGGGCCAAACCATTCGGCGTAGTCTTGGTCCGAGACTCGGATTTGGATCATTACTCTTACACAGCCTGTCCGTGTCAAGCGAGGTCGCTTCCAACAACATGAAACAAATCCAGACTTGGCAATATTGGCAGCGCTGCCCGGGAAATTCCGAGCACACCTCACGCGCGCTGTATTCAAGCTATCGCATGCGCCCGAGGTATGGTGCGGAAAGTCGTGGGTAGCGCTGCCAATATTGCCAAGACTGGATAAATTGTATTCATCTTATTGATAGCAACCTTCACCGCCGCGTCAAATTAGCTGCGTTTGTCCCGGAAATGACTGCAAAATAGGAGAATATAAATTCGAATTCAGTATTGGACCAAAATTACATTGGGCTGGGCTAAATGGATCACAGTATTGTCTTAATCTGTTATTTTGTGCTTCTACTAGTTATTGAATAATAACACAATGTATTTAGTTTTTAGTGTAAAGAAACAAATATTGATTAAAATGGGATGTGAGGGTGCGGTTTTGTTTTACCGATTGTGTCATTTCTATAAAAATACGCATGAATGCAATGAGTCTGTCCTCCTGTCGTTTGTAAAGCTCAAACTTTGTGGAATTTAACTTATTAATTGGTCTTGATCATTTCAGGAGGAGATTGCCGAAAGAAGGGGTTGGTGTGAAGGCTAGCTCGACAGAAGAAGAAAAGGTGTTGCTTCTTTCGGAAGAAGCTTAAAATGTTCTGTTTCTGTCCTCTTTTGTATGAGTTCATGCATCTCTTTAATATTTTGAAGGTTGTTTTAATCTACATATTTTGCGCAACGTTCGAGCGAATAAAACAAATGAGAGTGCCTTTATGATCGGTTACTTCGCATAAACATGTACTTTGTTGTTTTGTTAATTCCAAGCTACTTGCATTGAAAAGGCTGTGTTGCATTTCTCAACAACACATTGTTTTGCATAGTTTTGGATGATTTATGTGCGAAGTCAGTTTCAATGGGAACCATTTAGAGTGCGAGCATAAAATTAGTTATGCCGTTAAAATGTTTATTAACACAACATTACTTTATAGAGTTTTGTGAATATTTTATGTTGTATGTGACAGCTGATATTATGCAGTTCGATTCATAGTTAAATGCCGTAGAACTAAAGTTTGTTCAAAACAACGGGTTTTCTTTTTATCTTGTTTCAATAATTATCCTCTGTGTTAATGTTGTCTGCGTTTACAAAGCTTCTAAAAGATTTTCTGCAAATGTGTGATTTGTTATTGATATGGTTACGGCGGTAGTCGTGTGGTACTTGTTATTGATATGTTATTGATATGGTTATGGGTGTGGATGTATGTGATATTGGTATTGACGTGCATGTAATTGATAATAATGGAGTTTGGGTATTGGTATTGGTTATGGGTAAGGATAGCTGTAAAAGATATAGGTTATGATTAACTAGAAACATATGATTTTGCGGGAATCGATTTGATAATATATGATCTTCATTTTATCTAGTGCGCGTCAAATCACGTGACCCTTCCTTCCGGTCGAAACCGGAAGTGCCTAATGATTTGAAAGTGGAAACAGATTTGAACTTGCTTTCCACGATGTTAGTCTGTGGGTGGATTGACCTTTCAAAAAAATAAAGATCGGTGACGCCATGAAGTGTTCGAGCGATCAGCTTTCGATCTTAAACTGTAAGTTGTTAAATATCAGTATTTCCATTTGTGGACAGGTTCTATTTACGAGGTTAAGAACTGAAAACGGTATTTTTTTTCTCGGGACTCATTTTATAAGGATGCAGTAGTTGCCTGCGCCTGTCAAATCACGATTTGCATGCCCTCAAATTCTCAGGTATTAGAGCATTTTGTGGGCCATAAACTTTGTTTACATACATGTATCATGATATTTCATCCCTAAATCTCGTTAAGAACATTTGGTAAAAACGTTTTGATAGTAATTTATTATCGCCTTGACACCTGATAAAACGTATCAATTAAAATCACGTTATTAAAAAGTGTGTATATAAAATCATAGTTCATCCCTAAATCTTGTTTAAAACATTTGGTAATAACTTTTGATAATATCGCTTCAACAAACCTGATAAAACGTCAAATTTGAGGCATTCAAATCACGTTATTAAATTATTTATTTTTATATCATGATATTTCTATATAGTCAATAAAATGTTATTAGGTGTTGGGCTGGACTTGACAGCCCAACACCTACTGTTTTTGTACGAATTTACTGTTTTTGTTAGTCTGGTTCCTTGACTCCACTAAAGATAAAATGGATCAATTTATAGATGCCGGAAAATTGTAAGGTAAGGGAACCAGTCCAGCTGGCCTGCACCCGTTCATGAACATGTAACCACTAGCAAACAAAATTTGGACTGAAAAAAGTGTAAAGTTGGAGCAGTAGTTGAAAAATAGTTAGGTTTTTTCAACGGTGGTCGGCCGACCACCGTTGGAAATGTATACAAAAATACCATTTTCTTGAAAATGACTTCACACAAGGTGCCATAACCTTACAGGATGCTTTAGACTGTCATTTACCAACATCCTAGTAAGGTATTTCGGAAAAAAACTTGGTAGTTTTATCTTTTGATGTTTGCAAATGTTGTATATTCCCTTTAAGCCACGATGGCCTTGTTGAAAGGCTATCCTCAACGGTGAAAAAAACAAGAAACGATGCAATAGACCTTTATCATGCTGCCACTATTTTTAGTATTATTCCCTGTATCCAATTACAGTACTTAATGGTATAATTATTTGTGCCAAAAGGAACTAGACTATTTTTTTCTTCCAACGTCGCGTTGGTTACGTTGATTTGAATGGGAAAAAATCAAGATGGCCACAACATGATAATAAGGGAATAAATGTGTGCTCGAGAGGTTTTTATCACTCTGTTTAATACCGCTTAGAGTCTGGGTGCTAATAATTACCCAGACTCTAAGCGGTATTAAACAGAGTGATAAATACCGACCGAGCACATATTTATTCCCATTCATAAATACCTTATCCGTAAAAAAATATCAAATAATTCGTTCAAAAAATCCCGATTTTGTTCAACAAGTTCACTTCATGCTTTTTGAAACATCCCTCTAGCAAAATAATGGAGTGTTCAGCTGGCGAGTAAGATGTAAACAACCCTTTTATGGAGATTGACGCGCGCGTAGCATGTTCTGCGCGATGTCACGCAGAACGCACCTGGGGCGTTGCGTTTTGAATTTAGAACTATAAAATTCTGACTCGCATGTAGTGTTGCGCATGCACGTGAGGATTGTGAACGTTCAACCAATGAAACGGTAAGAGGCACTGGATTTTTAGGAGTCCACATTTTATTGTGACACTGGAAAAGTGTTTAAGACCAGCTAGCCATGTCTTTATCATCCGTTTAAGACCAGCCACGTGACGGGCTCTCGACCAATAGGAATAGCTAATCTGTCTGAGGTATTTATGAATGGTCTATAAAGGACAATAGACTGATCATTAGGCCCCCCCACCGCGCACGTGGGCGACAACACCTGCGTCGTGTTGCCAAAGTTCTCAAATCAGGATATAAATGATAGTCTAGAATCATCTTTCTTTCAGAGGGACCGGCTGCGTTAGGGGAATATAATTCAAATTCAGTCTCGCACCAAGACTATCATCTCTGTTCCGTACATTGATCTCCATATACTGTGTATATGGAGATCAATGGTTCCGTACCAGATCAGAAGTGAATCGCTAGTCATTTCATTGCAAGTAGCCTTGTTTCAAGTGACGCCACGAGATATGGAGGCACTTCTTTGTCACTGTACATGCGAAAAAAATACCTGTATTTCAATTGTTTTGTCAAAATTCTAGGAACGCGTCAAAATGGATAGACAATTGACAGAGGGCGCTCTCGTTATATACCATTATGTGACGTCACAGTGGCGCGTTTGTTGAATGTTCTTGGGGACACGTGCGCGTTCCACGCGGTGCGTTTTTGTTTTGTAGCAACACAAATCAGACCCCTCACAGGTTTACGTGAGAACGGACGCTCTTTTTAGCACTCGCAGCTGTGCGTGTGGAGAATTTACGATTCAGCGCATTTCGCCGATTTTTGCGACTAACTCTGACTGAGACATCAGACAGCACTGTAAGAGATCTCCTTGAAAGAACGCAAGTGAGTAAACGCTTTCGATCTCCTTTTTCAATGATAGCCTGACTCATTGCATTATATTTGTTGTAATATTTGTAAACCGGCGAATATATCAATTTTCAGTGTATACATATTGACTTTACCTTTATTTGCATCTTTGTCAACGCTGAGAGGTTAATTTGTTGTACGTGAATTTGCCATCTTCTAACTACTTGTAACTCTAAAAATGTACATGTATTGCGTTTTGTCATACGAAGACAAGTGACTCACCTTTTGAGCCTTACAATGGGAAGTTCAGATTATTTAACTTGTGATTTCAAATGACCTTCTTACAGGGAACCATGGATATCAATATGGTATTACGTGGGCAAGAAGAGACATGTGTGGATTGCGGGTTACCAGTGAGTAGACTCATTAACAAATTTCTTTTAAATTTCCCAAACTGGTTTTTTTTACAAGCGTTTAGTGCAAAGAGTAGACGTAGCATTGTCGATACAATCCTCGCTCGATAAAATTATTTTCATCAGCTCCATTTCTTCTCATTATGAATAATTAAGCGTCTGTCCTATTCATTTGTTTTCCTCATTGTCCTCCGTATTACCACAATTTGCAAGATTACTACCTTTTAGGGCGTCATACTAAAATGTCTTCCAGTTGTGTTTTGGAAATATTGACATGCTACATATTTCAAGCATTGGGATCTTTTTTTCAGGTTGGGCTACTTGTTCAACCCTCCACAAGTGATACCTGCGTGGACTGTGGATTTTCGTCCGCACGATGTCCAGTAAGTGCCAAACTCTGACACCTATGTTCAAAGAACTTGGACTTTTCAATTTTTCTTCTGTGGAGCGCGTATACACTTGTTCAAGGTTCATTTTTATCTCAAGAGATATTTTGGGTGCTTTCACAAATCTTGGTTCCGGTTCAAGCCAGGAGCAATATTTTTGGAGCTTAACTGAGGGAGTTGTGTCACAAAACGTTCCAATGCTTTGCAAACATCAATTCTCTTAAGGCCAAACTAGTGTTTCAAGTTTTGTACACAACTCTGGGGCTAACAATATCCGCAGCCACTGTCAAGCAAGTATTAGGTAAATCAAAAACGAGCTACTGAATCAGGCTCAACTATTGTTATTGTTATATTTATATATATTTTCCTTTTTCCTCTTCCAGCACTGGAGTTGTCAGACGTCCTTATGCCCAAAGCCCGGCCCATCAAAGCAAAGAACCCGAGGCAGTGGGTAAGTACTATACATGTTTTCATTTCTAAGATTTGCGATCCATCAAATAACCGGAAAAAACTAAACTCTGTCAGAGAATTCCTATTGAACCAAACAGCTGATTACTTTATTAAACCTTTGCAGGTAGAGCGAAAAAAATGTTTAAGTATAAACTGTTGCAGTCTTCTCAGAAAATCGTTGCAATATTGGAACTTATTTTCTTCTATCCTCAAGGGGTTTGGCCTCCACGCCGTCAAATACGCCACCACTTCCCCCTCTGAGATGGCTAGGAGGTGTAAATGCAAACCCAGCATCCCCTCCCGCACCAATTGAAAGTGTACCATCAACGCCAACACCAACTCCCTCGATGGCGCTCGCAGCTTCAGGCCAGCTGGCTTCAGCCATCGCGCCATCGGCATTACCGAATCCGACACACCCACCGGTTCCTCGGTCACCAACACCACCGTTACAGAACCAGCCCCCTCAACAGTGCCAAACACAGCTGCCTTCAGCACCAACAACGCAACCTCTTACAGATCAGCAGCAACAACAAATTATTCAGGAAGCGATGGCGAAGTTCCAACTCAGCCTGCCATCGCTGGCCCTTCAGGCTCTGCTGCCGCCACTGGACACGGCGGTTCGGACGGTAGACCCCTACGACTTGGAACTGCCGCCCTGTGGTCAGGTGATACTGGGCAGTGGTGCCTTCGGCACTGTACGGCTTGAAATCATGAACGGTACCGCAGTTGCCGTCAAGTACGTCGGGGTTGCCGATAGGTTCCCAGCCGAGAGGGAGGCAAGGGCAATGAGTCTTCTTTCAGGGCATCCATCCTTCCCCATTTTACACGGCATCGTGGCAGATAGCCAGAAGCGTGGCCTGGTGATGGAATTCATCGGTGACCATCACACATTGAAGTCCCTGACCCTGAACTTTGCTTTGGAGGGATCACACCGGCTGAAGCTTGCCCCACAGGCCTGGTCCACCGTCGCACTGGATGTCCTGGACGGTCTGCGATGCATGCACGACAGTGGCCTCCTTCATAACGATCTCAAAACAGACAACATCTTGCTGCGTAATGTCAGGGGCACCTGGCGTGCATGTATTATAGACGTGGGATTGTGTACTTTGGCGATTCATCCCAGGGTATACCACATGACTGAGGCACAGAAGGCACAATGTCGGCAGTATCACGCGCATCTAGCCCCGGAGCTGGTGGAGGATGCAGCGCCTCAGACCCAACTGAGCGACATCTTTCAGTTGGGTCTGGTGCTGCATTCTATCGGGCATTGGTGCGGTGTGCCGGTACTGGCTCGACTAGGCGAATGGTGTGTAAAGAGAGACCCACAACAACGGCCCTCAACGGCGGTGATTCGACTGATACTCATGGGCATCAGGTGACGGTAGACCCTACAAATTGCATTATTCAAATCCACAAAACACAATAAATAAAAAAGAACCCGGAACTGTATTTTTAAATTTTAAGCAACAGATATTGCCGTCATTTTGATATGGTTGCATCAGCAAGAACAGGTCATTGCTTAACATTCACAGGTGATACCGGGCAAAGTGATCACTGCCATTTAAAACAAATTTGAGTCATTTCAGTCATTCTGGAATCCATTTTACCCAAAACAAAACTGCTTGAAGATGGTAATATTTTAGCCAGTATTTTTTTGTTCAGACGTACATTTTTTAGGGGTTTAAATTGTTTGCAATGTGAGAAAAATAAATCAATTTTATATTGACGGGATTATATATTTTGTATCAATATTTGTATAAAAACTCAGAATCTAAACTTGTTTGGCTTATAGAATTAGCCAGTATAGTCGGTGAGATGTACACTTGCACAATTGTTTTAATTTGTTTTAGATGTATGTATATAAAGTAATTGCCTTGATTTTATATCGACGTCATTTTATATATCTATTTTTTTAATATAACTTTAAATATAAAATGATTGCGATGTCAGAAAAATGAAGCAATTAATATTGACGGGATTATATTTCTTTTGTATACATGTTTGCATACAAATTCAGGATCTAAAGAATTTCTTTTGCTAATATAATTAGCCAGTATATTCGGTGAGACGTACACTTGCACAATTTTTAAAAATTTGTTTGCGATGTGTGTATCTAAATTATGAATTGCCTTGATTTTGTACTGACGTTATTTTATGTCTATTTTTTAAACATAACTTGACATATAAAGCTCCTGCTTCATTTCTACAAATGAAGTTAATATACGCTTATGAATGTTTTATTTACAAATTTTATGAAAATCTTTTTACCTACAATATTGACTGTCGCAAAGCATTATGTAGGCCCTTAAATTATTGTAAAAAAAAAGTTTGCCTAATGACGTATTAAAATTTTAACAATCTTGAAAATGAATTGTTTTCAATCTTGAAAACAATTGTCCTACACTATTTTATTCCTACGTTTCTAGGATGAAAAAAAATGACTACTTTTACATAATTGGCATTTTCAGTAACTTTTACATCATTGGCATTTTCAGTAACCCAAAGCAGGGGGGGGGATAGACCCCCCCCCCCTCATTTACCCTAGTGCCCCTTTTGCCGAAATAAATGTGGCCCTCGGCCTCGAGCATAAATGTGCCCCTCGAGATGAAAACAAAAGTTGCCCTAAAATTTCGGATTATTTTTTTTTCAGTAATCGTTTCCCAAAATGGTAGAGAGTTGTGATATGAACGAGGAATATGAAAAATAAGCCCCAACGCCTTTACAATGGGCCCTTAATATACGCACATGCGTAGATTGCATAATGGCCGCCTTTGAAGTGCGCCCCCCCCCCCCCCCCCCCCCCACTTTTTGATTTTACGGAGGCCAAGTGTCCCGTGAAAAAAACGTGTAGCATTTCAGCACGGATGTCCCCCCCCCCCAAAAAAAACCCCAAAATACTGGATAGGCCTACGCTAGTGCACCAACGAGAGAACGGAAGACACCTTTCACTGGACAAGTGTCCCTTTTGTTGATGCCTCCCCCCCCCCCCCACACCCAACCGTTTGAAAATCGTTCCGCCGCCGCTGACCCGAAGTGCTACTTTCATGAATTTGTTTAAAAAGTATTTGAAAGAAAAAGCTCGACTGATATGATTCTATCTTTTTACAAGCAAATGTTTTAGGATCGCATTTTTGGGGGTCACCGTGTACTGTAGAACCCGCATTTCGTGCAAATCTGATTCGAGACGTTTAAGAGTGGATAACTAGCTTTGGAGATATATTATATATAAAATAAGTAAATAAACATAAGCACAACAAAGATACATTTCCACTCTATAGCTTTACTCAAAGTTTGTCATTTTATTTGAAGAGTCGAGGTATAACTGCTAGACAAACAAGCATGTTTTGGTAAAGTTTGTTGCAATCACTGCAGTTAGTAATCAGTAGTAGTACTTTTGTAGTTCTAAAAATTAGCCCGTGAATATTGTTCACAGTTCTACAATTTCTTCCGAGTCAGTAACGTAAGTAATCTACTAGTTTCTTTTGTTCTCTTTGTGTTACACAAATTGAACTCCTTATTTCAAAAGATACTACAGTGTATGACAATTCAAATTTAATAGGCTGTAAACAAGGACTAGATTCAAAACACCAGAAGATTCCAATTAAAAGTTAAAAAGGGATTATTTTCAACGATGCATTGTGCGAAGATTAGCTATACGTACATCCAAGTAACTCAAATTGGATGAGTTAATGTTTTACAGAAACTGCAGTTTCCACTGCAATAATTGCACAACACAATAGCACTGTTTAAAATTACATGTATATTCTTTTGCTCAAATGTTGCTAGATAAATTATTTCTTTTCCTCAGATAAATTGGCATGTTTTAAGACGCAAGGAGAAAATTCGAAAACATTTTTATCCTTAGAAAACTTTGCACAAAAATTGGACAACCTCTTAAAACTTGCAAATTTTAAAATTTGTTTCTCTTTCCGAAAATTTATAGAAATAAAGAGAAGACGACATTTCTTGTGAAAAAAAAATGTTGAAATCGTTTCAAACATTATTTTGCCTGATTGGGAAGATTTTGGCCAAAAAATTTGGGGGAAAATGTGCACGTTACGAAAAATGTGTCAAATGGGACTATTTCGAGAAATCTTGTTAAAATATATCTGAGTGGGCTGGTCAAAAATTGAAACTTACATATATTTTCTTTAATAGCGCCACATCCACCAACGGCCTACCACCTAAATGCCTCCAATAATTATCCTACTTTGTCAAATTGCATCATCAAAATCCATGAAAAGCACATTCATACGTACTTTCCCACAATTCCACCATCAACTCGTCATTAAATTATACTGATTGAAATAGAATAACTTTACAAATGTTATTGTTCTACAATGGTACATTATAAATACTTTTTTTTCAGATATATTATAACAGTGCAAAAATACATATTGTGGAAAGAACTGGTTGATATAATTCTAATGTACCAATATCAATGTACAGAGAGAAGAAATCTTCGAAAAAGTATTCAAGCATTAATGTATGTATGTGTACCAACATACCATATTAATTAACACGGCAGAACTATTTATTGCCCACAAAATGATCAATGCAGAACATTTCTTATCAATTATGAATCAGAACTATAGACTCCACTTCCAGACTGGCGACTGCAGAACAGTTTCTTCACCCTCCCAAGACTATAGCCTACCTTTGCACAGAGAAATGTGCAACTATTATTGGTCTCTCAGACTGAGGACACAAAATGACTTCAAGATAAAGTTCACATAAAGCAACATCAGATAGGGTTAACCACAGAATTCTGGGCCTACGATCTGTGCTAACAGCGCTAGCAGAAGATACTAGTTATGGATGTTCGCATGCGCATAAGCCGATATTTCTCACTAACCCCTGAAATTTCGCTCGTACCCCCCGCCCTGCAAACAGGACGCTGGGATACTCTGATGAATTCACGCTCTGATTGGTTGGATTTTGCGTGACCAGTGATCTGCGCATCATCAAGGTCATGACTCTGCAAGGTTTGAAACGGCCGTTAAGACTGATTAATTACTCTTAAATTCCAGTTTAGAGATGGGTTTTTTTCTCGTTGAAAAGCGTAATAATGTAGGCAATTCTGTAAAACTTATCTGTGTTGTAAATTGACAATTCCCGTCGCTTGCTCAGGCTCTGTTTCGAATCACGAACGGTCGGATTGCATTATGCGACGCTCAAAATTTTGTCCACATGGTCCGCAATGAAACAGAAATCACATCCGGTATTGGGATGTGCGCATTTTTATGGCAAGTTTTTGGATAGCATTTGCGCACATTGAAGCTCATCAGAGTATCCCAGCGTCCTGTTTGCAGGGGGCGGGGGTACGAGCGAACCCTGAAATATGCTCGCCGTTAAACGGCACAGAATGTTCTGCAACAGTTAGTAGGAATATTCTGTAAACGGTAAGCAGAACCTTGAAATTGGGCCCATGATAGCACAGTGCATACGGACTTTTATGAGTTAAAGCGATAATGGTCCATAAAGGTGTGTGCTTACATGTACCGATGTACAGGGTATAGTATACAAAATAATAAATGTTTGTGAGTGCAATGGTAAGAATAATTTCATGACGTGACAGGTGGAATGGAACATTTCATCTGTCACCGAATGAAATTATTCTTTCCATTGCACGAACGTGAAACATTCATTATTTGTTTTATATAACACCTGAATAAATCCTTGTCATCTGATTGGTTGACTTTTAATAACCCATTTATTCAGGTTAAAAACTGTTTGAAAGTTTGACAAGGAAGTTCATCATATTTAATTTATGCACACTGTTCAACAGGTTGAGAACCATCATATTAATCTCGATTTAAAACAGCGCCACCGCCAGCAGCGATGACACCGTGCAATGGAAGTTCTATTCACCGTGCAATGGAACTTCCATGCGTTGGGACGAATAATTCAATAACATGTGATCAATGATCCACCAATCAGATGGAGGGGAATTATTCAGGTGTTGTATAATACTGAATATGTGCTTGTTCTGTTACAAAGAAAGGCGGTCGTCAGTTCTGCGATTGGCAGAGCTATGGAATTGACACATGCCTTGATTAGAGTACTAAGCACAAACGTTTCTGCTTGCAGAATTTCATGGAGGCCAAGCTCAATATCATGTAGCAGCTTAGCACAATATTTTGCTTAACAAATTAAAGTGCTATACCAAATCAGCAGAGAACCAGTCAGAGACAAAACACATTTTACGTTGAGTTTTGACTGGTAAACTGTTTTTCGCTCAGCACATGTTCTCCATGCTTAGCAAATGTCTGCACTAAGGTGCTCCAGGAAATTGTTAAATGGTAAGAATGACAAACAAAGATGGATTAATAGGGATTTCCCGACAAGTGTATAGGTCGTGAAACGCTTTTCAGCAAAACTGTCCTGCTCTACATGTAATTAGCAGAGATTTTTGGCCAACTATAGAGTATTGACATGATTGAGCACTAGCATGACGGCAATGACCGCTGGTGATGCATGCCTGATGCATAATGGTACACAGGAAGCCATTTTGTGTCCAACTTTTCTGACCTCAGAATCGATACTCTATTACAGTACCCTACAAAAAAATGTCAGACTGAACTTGTTTCACTGGCAGAAATATTACGCTTAACATGTCCATCCCTGTAGTTAGCTTCATTCCTGCTAGCCCCATAAATGTGGCCTATTTACTGGACTACCTCCGTAAACATAGGCCACACATCCACATGTACAAAAACGTGTCGCACTTTGCCAAATTTTGATTTTCACATTTAGGCTTAGTTTGTAGGTTTTTTTTTGCTTTAGAAGCATACTCACCCTCTTTATAGGCTAATCAGAAAGTGCTGCCATTTTTTCAGACGTCTATTTTTCGTGAAATTTCCAGATTCATTTACACACGTTTGCGTATCAAAATTGCAAAATGAAATTTCACAAAAATTAGACATCTGAAAAAGGCAGCACTTTCTGATTAGCCTATAAAGAGGGTGAGTATGCTTCTAAAGCAAAAAAAACCTACAAACTAAGCCTAAATATGAAAATCAAAATTTGGCAAAGTGCGACACGTTTTTGTACATGTGGATGTGTGGCCTATGTTTACGGAGGTAGTCCAGTAAATGGGCCACATTTATGGGGCTACATTTCTGCTTACCAAACTATTTACTAAATCAGCAACAATTTCTGCTTACCAGCTCTGCCAATTTGCATGCCACTGGATATGATAAACCAGCACTGAAATTTCCCCTGAATACAATTGCGTATTTGAAGAAGAACCATTGTTTTCCGTGTAAATTTCTAAGTATGACATTTTTGTATTGTAAATAACATATAATAATGTAAAATATACGTAGCATATTATGCTAAAATCAACATTCATGAATAACGAGAACTTAAGATAAATGCACGGAAAATATGAATATTGTACACAATATGTAAATTGCAACAATTACATATAATGTAAAATAAACGTAGCATATTATGTTAAAATCGACATTCATGAATAACGAGAACTTACCATAAATGCATGAAAATATGAATATTGTACACAATATGCAAATTGCAACTTACACTGAATTGTGCTCTTTTGCATTGTTCAATTATCAAGAAAAAAATCTCTACAGAATACAATGAATCATTTAGCCCATATTTCAACATTAATAATGAAAACAGCACCAAACGAGAAACAACAAAAAATCTCCACTATTAAACAAAACCTTAGAATACTGAAGTTTCAAATATATATGGCAGATAACGTTGAACATTTTAAAAACAAAAATGGACTGTCTTACCCCAATTACCAAATCCTGTTAATCAAATAAACATAATACATTTTAAGACAATTGAAAAGTATACAATGTATATGCACAGGTAAAATGAATAAAACAAATATGAAAAAAATGAGAATATAAAAAGGAATAAATACAAATGCATAAACATTACTGAATATCACATCACAGGTATACAAGATTAAGATTTGAGCATTTCAAATTTGAGGCTATACACAAAATGGCAATTTTACTGCACTCCTGTTTTGCAGCAAATCTTTTATTTTGTGAAAAGATAACATTAAAAAAAATCAAGTTACAATGTTGAGCATAAGAATTATCGATATTTTATTTCTAATGCCAACTAAAAAGTAAACCAGAATTAATTTGAGGTAAAAATGAAGTGACTAGAGTTTGCTGACAGTTTTCAATGCAATTTGAAATTGTCATGGAAATTGTTTAAATGTTATTTCAATTCAATTTCAACATTATTTCATGGATTAAAGCTGCTGAAAAAAAAAAAAAATCAATAATGTCAAGAGTTATTTCAAAAATGCAATATCTTCATTTGAAAAAATATGAAAAGTTTGCAAGGTAAGGAAACTTTACAGCATTAAAACAATTATAACAGCTGTTTTTTAACTTTATGTTGGCTTCATCGTATTCTCACACTGTGTTTAACTATATAACAGCTGTCGAAACTGACTTTGGGCAACCAGGAGAGGGCCAGATTCTAAAAGTTAACAAAATAGTGTTTACTGGTTTTGGAAAGAAACTCTTTGTGTATAACTGACACATTTAACCTGCATTAGCTTGAATACAGAGCACGTGATGTATACTTGGAATTTCTTGGGTAGCAATGCCAAAGTTCCAAAGAAGGGATTTGATTCATCTTGCTGATAGTAAACTTTATACAACGCCTGAATAAAAGCCTGTCATTTGATTGGTGGGTTGGTGATCACGTCATTCAATTATTCGTCAAAACGCACGGCGCTGCCGCACTGCAGAAACAGAAGTTCCATTCCACGGTAAATAGAAGTTCCATTCCACGGTAAATAGAAGTTCCATTCCACGGTAAATAGAAGTTCCATTCTACGGTAAATAGAAGTTCCATTGCACGGTCACACTACTGGTGGCACTGACCAATCACATAACGAGGATTTCTTCAGGTTTTGTATAATAAACGTTTCACATTCGTGCAATAGACCGCTTGCAGATGCGTTCGATAATCGACGCACGAAGGTGCGCGACGCCATGTTGTGGGACAAGCGTATATCTATTCACGCACATTTTGTCCCTCAACATGGCGTCGCGCACCTTCACGCGTCAATTATCGATCGCGTCTGCAAGCGGTCTATGGAAAGGATACTTTCATTCGGTGACAGATAGAATGTTCCATTCCCTCATGAAATTATTCTTACCATTGCACTCGTAAACATTCATTTTTTGTATACTATCTTGGCAGTAGCTTGACTGTGCTTACCAGGGAGCTGGTTGCATCAGGGAAAACAACAAAATCAAATCTTGAACCAAGACTAACAAAGTGCATACCTTTGGTTTCCTGCAAATTGCTACAGTTTGGAGGATCCAGGGAGGTTCTTTGCAAAAAGCCCAAAGAAATCAGGATTGATGCATTGCATGGCAGATCTTCATGTGCAACATAACCCCCCCCAAAAAAATGCATAATCACAAACCGCCAATCTGGAGAAACTGCTATATATTCACCTATGTATGTCTGATTCAATTATTTGAACGGCATATAGGATCATTTGTTGTTCATGCGTTTTGTTTGTTCCCAATAATAACACTCATCAAAATCCAAATACTTTTACGTTCAAAACCTAACCTGTTGAAGTTTCAGCTCAGTGGACATTACAATTTTCGAGAAAACAAGAAGAACTATGCACAACCTTTTGATTACAAGTTTTGTCAATAGCCTTCTTTATTTCAAAAAAAAATAATCAGTCAACTGAATGATCATTGATCATCAGAATGATCATCAAAATGACAGCAAGCCAGATGGAATAATTTCACAGGGTGTTCAATACCAGCATAATCTTTAATCCACGTAAACTTTTTGATTAAAATGGTAGGTTACTTTTGGGAAAAATGCAAATGATCCTATAACCCTTCAAATGATTTCAAGACAGCCATGAAAGTAACACATTTCTAGCACTACAAAGAAGCAGCATGTTTCAGTGTGGTGTTTCTCCAGGCATTGCTGTTGCACTCTTCATAAACGTTGGGTCCACTAAGGCTAACTTGGTTGAAAGGAAGGCGTGCATACAGTGCAGTAACTTCCGCAGATGGGGACACTCTAACTCCTGCAAAAACAGGAACAACAAAGTTGAATGGGAAACACTTGATGTCACTTGAACACTCTGTAGCCATATAGGAAAATCATGGAAACACCATGTATAGGCACCAAGTGAATATCATGTGAAAACCTAATGAATATCTTGTGACCACCATGTGAGCACCAATTGGATGCTATGTGAATTGAATATCATGTGAATACCAATGAATATCATGTGACCACCATGTGAGCACCATTTGGATGCCATGTGAATTGAATATCATGTGAATACCAAATGAATATCATGTGACCACCATGTGAGAACCATTTGGATGCCATGTGAATTGAATATCATGTGAATACCAAATGATCATCATGTGACCACCATGTGAGAACCATTTGGATGCCATGTGAATTGAATATCATGTGAATACCAAATGAATATCATGTGACCACCATGTGAGAGCCATTTGGATGCCATGTGAATTGAATATCATGTGAATACCAAATGAACATCATGTGACCACCTTCTGAGCACCATTTGAGCACCATTTGGATGCCATGTGAATTGAATATCATGTGAATACCAAATGAATATCATGTGACCACCATGTGAGCACAATTTGAATGCCATGTGAATTGAATATCATGTGAATACCAAATGAATATCATGTGACCACCATGTGAGAACCATTTGGATGCCATGTGAATTGAATATCGTGTGAATACCAAATGAATATCATGTGACCACCATGTGAAAACCATTTGAATGCCATGTGAATCGAATATCATGTGAATACCAAATGAACAACATGTGACCACCATCTGAGCACCATATGAGCACCATTTGAATGCCATGTGAATTGAATATCATGTGAATACCAAATGAATATCATGTGACCACCATGTGAGAACCATTTGGATGCCATGCAAATCGAATATCATGTGAATACCAAATGAATATCATGTGACCACCATGGGAATTGAACGTCATGCAAACACATATACCACATGACACATATACCGCATGAACACCTTGTGATGTGACCACCTTTTGAATGCAATGTCAACTGAATATCATGTGAATAGGAATCAAACATCTTCTGAACGCCATGTGAACGCCATGTGTATGCCATGTGAACACCATTTGATCCAAATTGTCATTTCACAGGGAGGTGTTAGCAACATTGCTACATGTAAAAATATAACCACTTCACTCTCCTATTGCTGTAATTCCAATGCTTAGTTTTAGCTTAAAAAAATACATTGCAGGTGGTATGTGCAAAAATAGAAATGATTAAAAGCATTTAGAGGTAAGGGGTCCAATTAAGTCCCACTGACAAGTCCCCTCGCACAGAGCTGCTTATAAACAATTAATGGCAAAACCCAAGATGGAATTGTACATCTTCTTTTTATGGTAAAAAAAAAGACCTTGTTATGAAATAGAGAAAAAATCTGACCTTCAACCTTTGTGGTGACCTACCTGTGTTTCCACCCTGTCTGTATTGGGGTTGTGGAACTGCAGCCTCACTGTGGAAATGTTATCATCTGAGGAGCCTTTGAGCTGAGAGAAGCGATACCTCCAAATAATTGCTTGCTGTAATCAAATTGATATTATTGATATTATTATTATTATTAATCATTTCTGGTAATTAAACCAAGGATTCCTCAAAAGCGCCCTAGGCACTGTAGCTCACAAGCCTGAAGAAACCTGTGGAGAGAAGACAATGAGAAGAAATTACAGTTTTAGAGGTGGGAGGAAAACCCTAGAAGCATATTCTGGGGAAAACCCACGGAATCAGGTAGGGACTGAAACCACAATCCAATCCAATGAACCCAATCCACATATTGGCCCAGGTGGGATTCGAACCCGGGTCACAGCGGTGGAAGGCGAGGAAAGTACCGCTACGCCAACCTGACTCCCCATACGCCAACCTGACTGATATACGGGGGAAAATGAGTAATATAGCTATACCTTATATTCTTTCCAAAAGTAATTGAAGTTATTGAATGCAGTGTTGTAGTTGAGACCCTGCAAGACCATCACAAGACCATCACAAGACCTCCAGTCTCAATTCAAGTCACAAGCTATTCAAATGAACTAAAACAAAGGCATTCCTTTGTCATTGTTTGTGCCCTGCTACTTGTGGCTGGTGTTGTGCTAGTCCTGTGCTGGTATCGACTACAACACTGATTGAATGTGAGTATTGCTCTCCATTTCAAGCAGATTTCACTAACATTTGGTTGAATTAGGCAAATCAAATTTCTGGGAAAGGATCTGGTGCAGCTTGATATTTTCTAAAAGTGATTTAGTAATCACAAGTTGCTTGTGCAGACACTGCTGCAAACTGCATGTATCTTGCACTTTTCCAACATTGGGAGTATAAAGGATGCATACAAAATCATGGATACAAAACTTTTGTTTTATAAGGCAAATATATTTTGTTATAAATGTTAAAGGGAATATACATCATTTGCTTTTGCTGTAATTTTCAGAAATGGATGGAATTGGGGGGTTGGGAATATATAGCAAATATAGTTACACTGACTTTTTTGAGGTTTAGGGTTGAAAATGCTATAAAAACCAAGAAAACCAATCATTTTCCTGTAGTCTGGTTCTCTGACTCCATATAAGAAGAAACAGAGCAGTTTACATACATTGGGGAATTGTAAGGTCAGGGAACCAGTCTAGCTGGCTTGTACCCGTTCAGGTGTGTAATCGATTGCAAACAAATGCGATGGTCAATTGGGGCCAGTATTTGAAAAAAAAAAGCCAGTTTTTTCAAACGCTGGTTGGAAATTGATACAAAAATACCACTTTTGTTGAAAATGACAGTATACCAGGTGCCATGATTTTACAGGATGCTTTACACTGTCATTCACTAACAGTCCAGCAAGGTATTTCAAAATGATTTGGTAGTTTTATTTTTTGATGTTTGCAAATGTTGTATTTTCCCTTTAATGCTTGATCACAAACTAGACTACCCGTAATCCTTCAAATGTGATAACATGCACCCCCCCTTGAGAAAAAAAAATATCATTACCACAGATGTAATCAGGTCCTTTTAATCTCAAGTAGAGTCCCAAGCTACGCAAATGAACACTATCTGTTTTTTTCATTGTTCTTTTCCCACTGCTTGAGAGTGGCTTGTGATAGACTTGTGGTTTGACTTGCGATGGAAACGACTACAAATCTGATCACTGCCGTGTTTAACTTGCCTTATTTTGTGCATCAAATAACGTGAAGCCTGTTGACAGGTCAAAGGTTAAACCAACCACCCTTTTCCGCCATGTGCATCCGTATGTTTTCGTCTGGAAAAAAAATAGAAGAGAATAATGAAGTTCTTCTCACCCAAATTGTATTTGTAACACAGAAAACATTAGAGAGAGTTTGCTTCAACGGCTCAATTCCAGCTCAAAAGAAGAAGAATGTTAATAAATGTGGTGCTTTTTTATGTTGCAGAGAGCTTCAAACATATTACCCCTGTTCGTCAGACCATGAGATCACTTTTATTCATCGGGTCAAGATCAATAAAATCGGTTCTCTACCCTCACAGGGAGAGCAAGAACAAAGGCAATTGTAATAGAGTGTCTTGCCCAAGAACACAAGCACGATGAACCCTGTCAAGTTCTAAACAAACGCACTGCCACACATTATTTGGACATCCTTGCCATTGGACCCCGACACTCCACATATCGTCACCGTTTTCACGAACAGCCACATATATATTACGTTGATTTTGAAGGAAAGTGTTTTCGAGATAATCGCAAAAGAAGTTTTTCATATTTTAAAACTGCAAGAAATACTACTTTGCAACAACTTTGTGCAGCAAGAAAACCATCACACGATTCTACGTGAGCTGAATTTTTACAAGAACCCGGTAATAAGACTTAATACAGCAGTTGATTGGTGAAAATTAATTAGAAAAGAGATGTGGCTCTTCGTGAAAACGTAAATTCAGCATTCCGACAAATTGGCCCTTTCTGTTCAACGTGTATTTCCATAGCGCGCTTCAGTACGCGCGCGCAGCTAAAAATGTAACAGAGATATGTGGCTTTGTGAAAACGGAAATCTCATTTGATCTACTTTTACGTATTTCCGTGCAATGGGTTTTGTACGCGTTCAAAGGGACAAAATGTATGTGGCTCTTCGTGAAAACGCAAAATGCATTTATCGAGATTTCTGCCCCTTGCCTTGCAACATTAATGTAACTTACAAATTAATGATGTTTTGCTTACAGAAACATGTCAAAATGGTTAAGTACATTGTTTTAATGCCAAATATTGAGAAAAAATCAAAATCGAAAAATTGTAATTTTTGACTTCGTGAAAATGGTGACGATATACATTGTAGACCAGATCGATCCCAAGATTCATGTGATCACTGAATACTCGTGGAGGCCTCTTTCTTGTAGTAACAAAACCACTGTGCCAGCTCCTGTAAGAAGGTAATGCACTATCATGGTGGAAATCAACAACCTCGTTTCCATGGATACGATCTTGCTGTGCTATGTTGGTTCCCAACATGCTTTGCGCAATCTTAACCCCTGGGATTGTGTAATTTAAATGTCCAAAATAGTTAGGACTGCAGTTGATGTATTTGAGGCACGACGCAGTGCTCAAAAAATTGGAAAGTTTTATTTTGTAGAATCGATCCTCTCAAACATGAGATTTTGACTTCGCGTTATTTAGGAAGGATTTATATTAAACGTACGTACATTGTGTACCGCTGTCGTCCCTTTACAGTTCATTCATTCATTCATTCATTCATTCATTCATTCACACATACATTTATTTCACAACACAAGATACAGGATTCTGGGGGAAAAAAACCTGAGGCTTCCAGGATATCGTACCGGCATCGCGCAGTTTTGAAAAAAATGTTACTACGCGACGTGGCGTTCAGTAACGTACAAGGGCATTACATGCAGGGCGTGCAGTTTTCAAAGTTTGCGCGCAGTACGCACTGAATAGCTGGATCCGTTGTTTATGTATTCCTAAGGAGCCAGGGGTTAGTGAAGGAACGCGCACGCACTCCTGGAGTCGAGGCTGGAAAGTCACTGACGTTGAGGGCCTCAATTATTGCAAAGTGATGACATGCCCTACACAGTGTAACTTACTCCTAGTTTGGAGACTGCAGTGTGAGTTGCTCGTTGCATAGCACTCTGCCACACATTGAGTTCACTACGGCTCTGTGTGCATAAGTAATGCTGATTGTTACTGGCTTCACCAGTCTGTAAGATGAAGCAGTGAGGCCTGTCATCCAACAGCTCTGCATCCTGCAAGTTCAAGAAATGAAAAACAAGGAATTTTAAAAGTACTTGACATTTTTTAAAGTTGATGAGAATCGGTCAGGCAGTGTGTGAAACTTTGCAACAATTAATCATACAACTTTGTAATGCTCTAACGGCGCTAAAAACTCTGTGCCTGAGCATCCCCTTTTTACATTCCAAATGCTCTTCAATATTGTTCAACAAATTCAGTTTTTCTTTCTAAATATATTTTCCATTTGTATGTTTAATACCAACTACAAATAAAAACCTTTTCAACTTTTCTTGGCATCTGCAGCCGTGTGAAGAAAGTTTTTTTATTTGGTCTTTCGAGCCTTGCCTCGGCCTTTGGAGCACACTGGCTCCTGGTTCACATATCAATACTGATGGTAAGGGGGAAACCAGTCTACCCTGCAAAGACAGAGTTTTGGCCGGGCCGCAAGTAATTCGAGACTTGAATAGTAACAATGCAATAACTAAACCAAGACTGATTTTTTCATCAGAGAATATTCTTTGAATCGCTAGAAACACAGCAATTTTGAAAAGGGATCTTTTTTCAGTGTGAAACTTAGAAAATAGCACACGATTACAACTTTTATTGACTGCAAAAACAACAGACAATAGCCATATTGAAGGTCATTTTGTGCCAATACTGCTGTGCAGGTCTCTATGCTGGGGATTTAACTGACCCACCCCTTTTTCCGACTGAGTTCCAGATTTTTTGTTAATTTTTTTAAACTTTTTTTTTAACTTGCGCACATATAGCCCTTTGTGCACACTAAACTTCTTTCCGTCGGGCAGAAACTTGCATCACTTTGTACGTATAATACGTCCCTTCATGTGTGGACTTGTGTCAAAACATCTGTGACTTTTTCATGGAAATGTGCACGATAGATGAACATTTAATAGGGGTTATTTGCCACAATGTCACAAGCACTATCCAGATTCTGACAGCTTTTCAGAAAACTTCTTGCACTCGTCTTTGATAGTTTGTCACAATAGGCAAAAAAAAAAAAGTCTCCGGTTTCTGGTATGCGCTCGCGTCGCCGTAGCCATGCGCGTCGGCAAAATGAAAAAGTTTTTTTTTCAATGAAAGATGATGTCTCAAAACCGCCAAATTCACTGGTTTGACTGGAATCCTGCTGCTGCACAATTTTAACGTGTTTTTAGATGGGGTTATGATTGAGAATAAGCTTTATGTGGCTTCTCTGGACTCCCATGTATTTGCACTAAGTCTAGTCGGGCACCATTTGCAGTCATCAGCCGACATTTGAGGCAAAAAAATCAGGTAAAAAAAAAAAAAAACGCGTCGCCGCACCACTTTTTGAGCAAGCTCCATACCAGAAACCGGAGACTTATTTTTTTTGGCCATACATGCCAGATATAAACATAATGTGCATTGTACCTTATAAACTCTTGTAATGACCTCATACAGCTTGTGTATTCGTTCACATCTCAACCAGTCTCTTGTATTTACCTGTGGAAAACAATCCATTCTGAAATGTTGAATATAAGCGATGGAATACAAGCACTGATATCTTTAAGAAGTTTTGATTTCTGTGATGCATGGCATGTTTGTTTTTTTAACCACAATAGACGTAAAAATCCCGAAACAAAGCCAGGGGCCTAATGGGATCCATTCAAAAACAAGAGAGGGTGCTTTCAGGAGCCCCATGGATATGTGGGTGTGCATCAGAACCGGGTACCTACCCGAATACCCGACCACTGATGTCAGGAACCGGTTCCAGATTATGGGATCAGGTACCCGTAACCAACTTAACAAATTACTTAGTTTCTTTAACAATGAAAAAGAAAGGTTCTGAATGCCATTTTTGGGGAATTTTCGAAATGAAAACCAGGCTATATTGAACATCAAAACAGATTTTGCATTTAAGTGTATTTTAACATGCAACAGATGACGCTCGGGAAAGTGACAGTTTACACCAAAAAAGTAAAAAGCCCTTCAGATAACTTCCAGCATTATTTGAATTTTGGGTTTGGGTTTCTGTTATGGGTACTCGGATTCCCGCGTTTCACTTCAATAGGGTACCTAGTTCCTGTACTACTGGTATATGCACACCACTACCAATGAAAGGGACAAACAGGAATGTTGCGCACATACAGTATACAAATATTGAGTGGCTCAGCGTGGAATGGGAGGAATATTATCGCAAGGTAAAATCTGGACTTTTCCATTTCACGAGGCAAAGCCGAGTGAACTGGAAAAGTCTACATTTTACCGAGCGATAATATTCCTCCCATTTCACAATTTAAAGCCACTCAATATTTGTTTTATATAACTGACATATAGATCCTTGTCATTTGATATATTTGAACTTTTTTTCAATACAAAACTGGAGGAAAATGTATTTCTTTCTTTCCTATATGAGCCACCGAGTCCCAACTGGCTCTCACAGGAAAGCGCACATGTAAAGAAAGTGTGCCATCATTAGGTCTTAGGACTATTGAAAACAAAACAATTTCAGCACTCCAATGACTTACAGGTGGGGTGTTGAAGAGCATGATATCTGCCCCTCGGATGGTCAGGAATTTAGGTTTCCAGGTGTGCATCTGCATAACGGTGGGCAGTCGCTCCCCGACCCAACCCATGTGAAGGATCTGATCCGACGGCGGGAGCAAGTTATTGGATATCTTCATCTGTCAGGAAATGAAACGAATGAAAGTGAACCATAAAAGGCCCCGATACACAAATACAACATGGTTTGTGAGGTAGTACATGTATAGTGTGAAATTACTGGTTTTGATGTGGTATGATTTGGCAACCTCCCTACTCAAAGTGGGTCAGAAGATCGAATAGAATCTGCATTTGATATCTTCATCTGTTAGGAAATGAAACGAATGAAGTGAACCATAAAAGGCCCCGATACAAAAATACAACATGGTTTGTGAGGAAGTACATGTACATGTATAGTGTGAAATTACTGGTTTTGATGTATGATTTGGCAACCTCCCTACTCAAAGTGGGTCAGAAGTTGAAATAGAATCAATTCCGAAATTGGAATCAGAATCGTGATTCTTTTTTTTTTTTAGGAATCCTTCATGTCGTGAAGATCAGCCAACCCCGAGGGACTACCGGTAGGCTTGCGTCAGAATTGAATAGAATCAATTCCAATATTGGAATTGAAATCGTGATTCTTCTTTTCTGAGGAATGGATTCTCAGAAGTAACAGCTAAATTCTCCTAAGAATAGATTCCAAACACTTCAGAACAGCTGTTGCGTCACTCGACACGTCCATATTTGTGGCAAATTACAATTTTTACCAAATATTGGTAAATCCTTTAATGACTCATATACATGTACACGGTGATCGCGTAATGTTGTCAATGTGGAGGTTTTCCTCATGGCCATTCTGGATTGATAGAAATGGATTCGATTCCGAATGGAATTGATTCCGAAAACTTCTGCAATTGTCAAAGCATACAAGGGACTACTGTTTGCACTATTGGAAATAAACCATGCTTTGTATATTTCGTTGAACATCATAGATATTTTAGAGGTAGCAAAAAGGCTGAGTACGCACATGTAGGCCAACAAGCTTCAACATCAGTATGGCCGTCCAGCAAATTGAAACTTTGGGGTAACATATTAATAACCTCCCCCACTCACAAACATTCTGTTCACTATGCCACTGATTCCAAACACCCCATTGTTATGTTACACACCGCCCTCTTTTGTTCATGCATATGACCTATTGGCCTTGACAAACAGACTCCCAAAGGCAAACTACAGAGATGTTGTCAAAGGCCAACTACAGAGATGTTGTTCAGGAGAGTTATTCCTACGAATATATGAGTTTGAAGGTAGTTCTTTTAGTGGACTTTCATATCAAAATGTAAATCAAATTAGGTTTTGCCCTTCACTGACGTATGAGCACTGTATACTCAGTGTGTTACCTCCCGAGTGAAAGGTGGAAAAAATCACTCGGGTGGGACTCGAACCCACGACCTCCCGCTCTCTAGTGCAGACGTCTTACCACTCAACCACCGAGCTAACGGGATCGGTTGGCTGGTTCGAATCTGATGTACATAGCAGCGGGTACCGCATTAACTATTCCTAATTTGATTTATATCAAAATGTAAGCATTGCAAAAAAAACTAGTTCAGTGAGTTACATGTATATCATGTACTGTACATGTACTATTAAAAAAAAAGAGTTTTTTCTGCAGGCAAATACACTGCCATGTCTTCTTGTTACTCAGAAAGTACCGTACCGGGGTACTTACAGATTGTGCATTTAACGTTGCAATATTTGCTGAGATACATTTGAGCCAATCTTTGAGTTCTGATGCATTATGACAGAGGAGGATACCGGACGACACGCCGTCCATGCCGACTAGCTCAAAGGAGTTGGGTCTGTTGGAGAACAAATAAATGTTAGGTCGATATTGCAGATGCTCCCTTAGTGTGAGTCACAGTCAAACTTGTGAATGGCAAAAATCATTTCATATAATGTTATTTCTGTATTTCAAAAACAACAAATCCTTAACATGCGATGTAAATAATAACAAGCATGAAATTTAGGAAGAATCGTTAATAAACTACATTTGTATGTCTGTGTTGCTGTTTTTTTTACTTTTAAAAATGAGGCTTGCTATTGCATTTGTGTTTGTATAATACTGTGTGTAAACAGAACGGGACAGATGATAAACTTACCAATGTACATACATGTACACGTACATACAAGTGTGTATTTGCCTGCAATTGGGGACCCCCTATTGTCCCTCTTTGTTTGTACTTAAACTTTTTAGGAAGACCTCCCTAATGTTTTGTACACATCGCCAAATTGGGGACCTTCGAGAGATTGGGGACCCTATTGTCCTCTATTGTTCAACGTCCCCTATTGAATGCAGAAACAAACTCATGTACACCTATGCATGTGCACACCTATAGCATTTGCAGTCTTGTACATGTAACACAATGGGTCCCTCACAAACGCAGCCGCCACATGAGGCAGTAGAGGTCGCTATCAACAAGATGAATCAAATCAAGTCTTGGGAACTTTGGCAGTGCTACCCAGGAAATTCCGAGCACACCTCATGCGAGTGCACTGGTTCAAATACAGTGCACTTAATGAGGTATGCTTGGAATCTCCTGGGTAGCACTGCCAATGTTCCAAAGACTTGATCTGATTAATCTACATATGCAATTGAACGTGATCTCTACTGCCATAGTGGCTGCACTGCACTTGTCAGTGGCCAGCTGTATTAGGGTAATAAAATCCAGATCCTGTCTTGGACCGAGACTAATTGCACGGACGAAATCAACCATATACATGTACATGTAGCATTGCCTGTTTATGTTATAAACAGAAATGCTTTGTGCTGCACCAAATTGTGTATCTCTTCCATTCAATATTATGCTCACTTCTGGGCTCACTTGAAATGCGCAGCTGAAAAGCTGATTACGGAATTAGGTACTCAGTTCTGTCTTATGTGCAATTCCACAACCCTCAAACTGTCTTTGTGAATTCTGAACCAACTTTTCTTAGAAATGATCAACAGTCAGCTGTGTCTACTGTTCATATTAACCAACTCCTGGTTTTGTTTATATTTTTCTTTGCTGTTTTTTTTATCAAACTGACATTTTCTTCTTTATGATCTTTGACCAACAAAAAACATGTTCTCGGATGGGCCACACACTGCAGTAAATTTGTATTACTTGAATATTAAATACTACATTTGTTGATCAATGTATTGATACTTTTCAGGAACAGGTCCCAAACTACATGTGCCTAAAACCGAAGCCCTACAAATTTTTCAGTACGTGTTAGTAAGGGAATAAATGTGTGCTCCGGAGGTTTTTATCACTCGTTTAATACCGCTTAGAGTCTGGGTGCTGATAATTACCCGAGCCGGAGGCGAGGGTAATTATCAGCACCCAGACTCTAAGCGGTATTAAACAGAGTGATAAATACCGACCGAGCACATATTTATTCCCATTCATAAATACCTTATCCGTAAAAAAATATCAAATAATTCGTTCAAAAAATCCCAATTTTGTTCAACAAGTTCACTTCATGCTTTTTGAAACATCCCTCTAGCAAAATAATGGAGTGTTCAGCTGGCGAGTAAGATGTAAACAACCCTTTTATGGAGATTGACGCGCGCGTAACATGTTCTGCGCGATGTCACGCAGAACGCACCTGGGGCGTTGCGTTTTGAATTTAGAACTATAAAATTCTGACTCGCTTGTAGTGTTGCGCATGCCTACGTGAGGATTGTGAACGTTCAACCAATGAAACGGTAAGAGGCACTGGATTTTTAGGAGTCCACATTTTATTGTGACACTGGAAAAGTGTTTAAGACCAGCTAGCCATGCCTTTATCATCCGTTTAAGACCGGCCACGTGACGGGCTCTCGACCAATAGGAATAGCTAAACTGTCTGAGGTATTTATGAATGAGTGATAAATATTGCTGACCTGAGCTTGTCCGTGCCCGGCGTGTAACGGGACACTCTAGCCATGAGGAGGGGAATAGACAGCAAATCCACCCATCGCTTCTCTGGCTTAGGCTGCTTAGCATTGGCCTCCTGCTGCTGATTGAGGGCGCTATTCCTCGTCTGTTGGGTACAATTAAGCACAGACACAGTGATAAAATATAGATCACAAAACCCTACCCAGCTTTAACATTAATTGCACTGAAACAAAACTGCACGAGTACCGGTACAAGTACATTGTACCCCATCAGGAGTGACCAGAAAAAAAAAAGTAAGGATCTTGGCTGCCATACATGTACACTACGCAACTATGCAAAGACGAATCAGGCTTGTGGACAATCAGAAGAAAACTTGGTTGTGAGTACTTTGGACCATAGGGGGTGAACTGGTGTACATGTACATACATTTGTGCATGTGTAAAGGCTCCTTGTTGGGTTCAAGGAATAGAGAGTAACACCAGGGACAACAGAACACACAATTGATGAGCCTTTATATGTTAGAAATTTAGGTGTTCCACAAGGAAAAGTGTTATGGATTTTGAGATTTCAACAGACATAACGCAAAACAAAACAAGGGAAACAAATTTCTTTCCGAAGAGTATTTGTATCGACAAATCCAGCGGCAGCCATTTTCTGTGGTGTAACCAGGTTCGCGCGAGACGCGCTTGGGGAGTATGCACGCACTCCGGGCTCCTCCGACCAATAGGAATACCAAAATGCGCGCGAGCTTCGTCTTTAAGAATGTGTGCAGTATGTGCGTGAGGGTGACATATTAATTCTTGTCGCCGAAATCCATGTAAGGCTATGTGAACAAAAGAGTGCGTCCTCTTCTTGCTCATGTGAAACCTTGTGGTTTGTCACATGTACATGTACATGTACGCGTATTCCAGTGCTCAATAACATACTGAAAGTGGTATTCGTGGCACTCAGGACAGTGCTGAAACCCTTCAGAGATATTGAAATGTCTCTAAAGGTTTCAAGCACTGTCTAGCTACGGAAATTGAAGTGCACATTCAAAAAGCCTTGACCTCAGCAATGCACATTCGTCTTATTTACCGCTAGGCTGTGTGAGGTGTATATTTACTACAATCCTAATATGTTACTATTTGTTTTTGCAAAACTCTGCACTACCTGCCAGTTTTCGTCATGGTTTTGCGTTGAGTTGGACTGCTCTGCTTCCAGTTTGCTTTCATCAGCAAGCTTGGCTATAAAAAAAACAATAAAGTTTAAAGAGAAATCATAAAATTAAGCAACTTATCTAACAACTGGCTGGTTGACTTAAAGGGAAAATACAACATTTGCAAACATCAAAAAATAAAACTACCAAATCATTTTGAAATACCTTGCTGGACTGTTAGTGAATGACAGTGTAAAGCATCCTGTAAAATTATGGCACCTGGTATACTGTCATTTTCAAGAAAAGTGGTATTTTTGTATCAATTTCCAACGCTGGTCGGCCGACCAGCGTTGGAAAAAACTGGCTTTTTCTCAAATACTGGTCCCAATTGACCATTGCACTTGTTTGCAATCGATTACACACCTACAGTGTATGAACGGGTACAAGCCAGCTAGACTGGTTCCCTGACCTTACAATTCCCCAATGTATGTAAACTGCTCTGTTTCTTCTTATATGGAGTCAGGGAACCAGACTACAGGAAAATGATTGTTTTTCTTGGTTTTTATAGCATTTTCGAACCCAAAACCTCAAAAAGTCAGTGTAACTATATTTGCTATATATTTCCATATCCCCAATTCCATCCATTTCTGAAAATTACAGCAAAAGCAAATGATGTATATTCCCTTTAAAAACAAACACTGACAAAGGACCTAATATGGTGTAAAAAAAAAGTAGTAAATGGTGAAATTATTAACTGTGCAATGAAAAGCTATAATCTTATAATGAAGAAATCAGGAATTGTATGCTGAATAAAAATGGGTACCCCAAATATTAAAACCTGACAAAGGAAAAATGCCCAGGCCCACGTTATAATCAATACAATAAGATAGGACAAGGAAAACTGTTAATAGGGGGGTTTGAACATGTAACCTCCTGACCACTGTACCAGTCGCTCCATCAACAGAGTGGTCTTCCAAGCACTGGTATAAGTTGCAAGTTTGAATCCTGTATAGTCAATTTCTTAACCCAACCCACATTTGGTTCTTCAGAAGCATCTTACCTGCTTGTTTGAGGTATGGTGTAGCTGCTCTGAAATGTCGCACTGTCAACACAACCTCTGTACCCGCATTCTTTAAGGCTGCCACCTGAGTGTCAAATAACAACATAACTTATATAATGGATCACTATTTATATGATGGATTTTTCCCTAGACATAATTTATCTTAAGACTGTATACTCTGGGTTGTCTGAGGGATTGCAAGAAAAGAAATCACAAGCTTCCTCGGGTGGGACTTGATCTTCTGCTAACTGGTGTATAGTAAGTGTTAATAAAAACAACTGCGAGTGCACGATAAGCTCTTGCCGTCTTGCATGAAAGTTTTGCATGAAATTTATCAAAATGGTCCCTGCCAGAGCTTAAAAATGCAACGCCCAAAAATGCGACGCCGATGGCATACTTTAGATTTATACCTGGATTTATAGCGCTTTTAGCCTTTAGTCATGTTAGTCAAGTCCCACGCGCTTACCCGGACACGTGAGGCACCCTGGATGCTTACACGTAACAAGACTAGCACGAGCGGTGAAGCCGCGAGGGCTTTTACCATCTCGTGGAGAACGCTTATGTTTTTCTTTACATTAGTCTACCGATTTGGTAGACATGCATAATGCATTACCCGTTGTGAATTGACCAATGAAAATGCAGAATTACTAACGTAAATCAGCCGTCGTCTGGCGCCAGACAGCACGCACGCCATGGTGTGGGTGCTGTTGCTGGTAACCGCAAACCACTGTTAGATGATTGGTTTATATTGCTTGATTTATATTACGTGAACAAATGAATAAGTGATTAGTTCCACGAGATAGTAAAGGCCCTCGCGGCTTTGCCGCTCGTGCTAGTCTTTTTACGTGCCAGCATCCGGGGTGCGTTACGTGTACGGATGGTCCGGGTATAGGTGCGTGGGACTTGACTAAAGGCTATAGCGCTTTGTGATAAATACCACGTTGACTATAACATTACTGCACGTATTTTGCCTCCTTTTACAATCTTTCATAAACATCTTTAGAGTTATTACAAGTATTTCATTTATTTTGTTTGCTTGTTTTGCAAATTAAAATTTGGTAGTTATATTTTTTGGGAAACTTACGGGGCTTATTTTGGTCAATTTCCCGGGACAGACATACCGGCATGCAAAATAAACGTGGATGGGCATCGATTGAAATAAAAAGTGCTCCAAAAACCGTCAGCACGAGTGTATTTTATGACGATGGCATGGCATTTGGTCAATTAGTCGCGCGTGCATGCGCATCAATCTTAACAAAATCGGTGTGCCAAAACCGTCAGCAAGGGTGTAGTTTACATCGACGGCATGGTGTTTGGTCAATTAGTCAATTGTTTTTGGTCAATTATTTTTGGTCAACTTTTGGGGCTTATTTTGATCAAATTTCGGAGACAGACAGACTGACCGACCGACCGACCGACTGACCACCAAGTGACATGTACATGTATAGAAGCTCCTGCCAGTGGCCAGAGCTTAAAGGGAATGTACATCATTGGTTTTTGCTGTAGTTTTCAGAAATGAACTATTTGAGGGGTTACTATGATAGATCAAATAATGTTCCACTGATATGTTTGAAGTTTTGTGTTCGAAAATGCTGGAAAAACCAAGAAAAACACAAATGGTGGAGTAGTCTGGTTCCCTGACTCCACTAAAGATAAAATGGATCAATTTATAGATGCCGGAAATTTGTAAGGTAAGGGAACCAGTCTAGCTGGCCTGCACCCATTCATGAATATGTTACCAATAGCAAACAAAATTTGGACTGAAAAAATGGTGAAGTTAGAGCAGTAGTTGAAAAATAGTTAGGTTTTTCCAACGGTGGTCGGCCGACCACTGTTGGAAATTTATACAAAAATACAATTTTCTTGAAAATGACTTCACACCAGGTGCCATAATTTTACAGGATGCTTTAGACTGTCATTTACCAACATCCTAGTAAGGTATTTCATAACTTGGTAGTTTTATTTTTCGATGTTTGCAAATGTTGTATATTCCCTTTAAACATTACATCGGTGAAGGCAAAAACCAAATATTGAATCGTACAATAGAATTTTGTGGTGGGGAGACACTATTGTTAGAATCAGTTTGTTATCAGTGATGTCTTAGAGCTTGCAAGAAAAAACCATTGGCTTGCTGGGGTGGGACTCAATCCAAAACACTCGGTTTACTAGCTCAGGCAGCTGTACCACAAAACCAGCATGTGGAGGTCGGCTGGGTGATGTCTGCACCAGTAACCAGGAGGTCATGGGTTCGAGTGCCACGCTTTGCAGCTACTTTACGGCAATCTTTCAGAAACAATTCTAAATTTGAGAACGTAACAGTGAAAAGTGTCACAGAGGTCTTCTCAGTTGCTCATTTGCAATGAACCCCTCCCTTAATTATTTCTGAATCACTTCTCGTCTCATATGTGATAGGTTTTGGACCTTCCCTACTTAAACGTTATTTTATCCCGGCCCATAAAGTGGAACCATCTTGTCACACTTACTGCTTCATCATGAGTAGCTCTCTCAATGGTCATTCCATTCACCTAAGGGGGAGGAGCCAAAAGAAGAGAGTTATAAATACATCCCAAAGTGGAGTGCCATAGCCGCGTGGTTAAGGGCATTGAATTCGTGGTCTGCGGGTAATTCTGCAGGTCATGGGTTCGAGTCCAGCCTGGGGTTATGGTGCGTGGGCTCTTGGGCAAGGCACTTTGTCACTCATTGCTTCCCCCCACCCAGGAGTAAATGGGTACCTGTGAGGGCAGAGAGGGTTATTGTGATTGAATTAGCTTCCTTGCTGTATACTCCCCAGGGAGCTGAGATGGTATTTGGAATGTTTAATTGGCCCAATGATCAGGGGTAATAATAATACTGTAAGCGCTGTGATTTAGTTTACCAATAAGAGCAGTCTTAAACGCCGATTATTATTATTATTATTATTAACTACAGGAACATGTGATCTCTACTCTACCTCCCAATCAGTTAAAGCTCTAGTCCATCATTTGCAGCTATCCGAAAAGTAACTGGCGTAATTATTGTTGAAAAACATACTTGGTTGAAAGATAGTAAAGGGGACTAAACTCCCTGTGAAATTATCCTTTCTGGCAAGTTGTCATTTTGAAGTAATCAACGAAAGAAGGCCTCTCCAATGGTGCTTCTTAAGACGCATCGTAGGAAATTTAAATTAGTAGTTCGTTTTGTTATTCGGCAAAGCCCGCGCAAGCATTGGCACGACGCACACGCGTGCGCGGTTGCTATAATTCGTCGGATCAGTGCGCGACATAGCGTAGCTGCAATCGGCTCAGTGAGAACGTGTCTCGGACGCTTATTCAGGCCCAATTCAAAACCTGATTCAGCAACTTTTGATTTGAAATTGAGATCCTAGAATGCTGTTTTTCTCGGAATATACAGCTGAAGCTGAGCTGAAACTTCATCAGGTTACATGTACATGTAGTTGTTCAGTACCCTTTTTTAGATTTTGAGCACTTTTGTCGCTTCAAACGAACAAAATGCACAAATTACAAATGATGGACTACATGTGTATATCTTTAAGAAAAACCCAAGGTGTTCCAGGGTGTACTGAACTGAGGCAAAATGTGTGGAAGAGTAGGGGCATGTGTGCATATGTAGCTGACATATGCAGGAAGTTCAATCATCAACATGATCAAGGATTTAGCATGCCACTGAACGCTGACCAGAATGCATTTGAGTCAGGTCTTTATTTCAATAATACAAAGTGTACTGCGGAATTATGAACGGTCAATGTACTAATGAACTTACTTTTAAGATTGCATCGCCCACATACAGGCCACCACTCTGGTCGGCTAGAAGTCAAAGGGGGAAACAAAACACACACAAATTAATATTCAAGGCTTAATTTTGTGTTCCCTTTGCTCTTCAATAAATGCCGTTTTTTTCCCCCTTAAAAATGTCAACTTGTAACATGTTTTATTCCAATAAAATTAACTCCCATGGATGTCTGCAACCTTTTTACATATGTCTGAAAAAAAAAAGCATGCTAAAGTGACACATGATGCTTCGTAATTCACGCCATGCTCACGCCGCGACAAACTCATTGTGTTTTTACCCCAGACACCACAACGTGCTGATGTAAAGCACAGGACGGCACCACTATTCCTCATTTCCGTGTTCAAAAATCTTGCACATGCAAATGATCCATGCCAGGGTGAGAGAGCAGGTAGTGGTACTGCTCGACACCCTGGGGACAAGGACAATGCTTGACAATGTCGTTACACCAGCCGTGACATACATGTATGTTACATTTTGTACATGTACATGATGTACATGTAAGTCACACAACAAGCCCCTGTACTGATGACGTCGCACTTTGTTTACGTGTGTGCTTTCCTATGGTGCTCAGTGGACCGTGGGCCCCATGTTAACAAAGTGTGACGTCATCGGTACGGAGACTTATTGGCCCAGGGCTGCCAACTCTCACGCACTGAGCATGAGACTAATGCATTTCAGGTCACCCTCTCATGCGCACATGGGATTTCTCACTCTAAAAAAAAATAAATAACTACCGGTATCATTCAAATATGATGTATGATGATCTTTTTGCCCCCCAAAAATGGGTTGAAGTGGTAAGAAATTGCCTAAATTTCTCAGGACCCTTAAGCGAGCCCCAAACCTACACCGTTAGCGCTTCGCACAAGTTTGCATTAGCATGATTACCCCTGCAACTTCTGATCAAGCTCCATCGCCAATTTCTCACGCTCAGCTCTTACTCAAAGTCGGCAGCCCTGCTGGCCCTACATGTGTAGATGCATTGTATATATGTGCCACATGTTCACCAGCAGGTTCGTTTCCCCGCGCCTACAATGACTGCCATTAAGCATGTTAAGCAGACGCGACAAGAATCTACGCATCATCGCCGTCTGTCATTAACGATGTGGGACAGCCGGCATGCAGGGGGCCGGCCAATGTGACCGGTATGTCACCCCTGCAGGGAACACCGGCAGTCAAGCAACTTCACTACGAGGTGATTTCTGATGTCGTTCACTTACAGTGTTGAAAACTGATGCATCTCTGTCATACCACAAGTTAACTAAGGCATAGGCCTAATAGGATACCAGTAAATTGTCGTCCTAACAATTTAGGCAGGCGGTTACAGATTTAAGAACTCCTCTACAACCTCTCTAACATCCTTAACTACCGATACTTACATATGTACATGTACACATGAACATGTAGGAAAATAATTTTGTAACTTTGTGTTTGTCTGTCAGTGTTTTATATTTATTTTGTTTACATACCTGTACAGTATACAAGTATACGGTTTCTTTAACAGTATTCTGTTTATTAAAACAGATTTTTATTGATTGATTCACCAATAACACACAAAGCTTATAGGAAGACTTTTTTTTAATTTTCAAAATACACTTTATTTTAAATCTTAATTTGGCCACATGTGGCAATAAAAAGTTTGAGGTCGGTAATTTGGCCATTACAAAAAAAAGTCCTTTAAGTTCTCTGTGGTACTGATTCCATTCATTTTGTTAGTTTGTGCCACCGTAAAAACCATCTTTATAATCTCTAATTTAAAAAAACACTGTATAACCTACAGTACATTGTATTGTAATTTCTGACCATGAACATTCAACATGTACATGTACATACAGTTGTATGTAGAAATTGAATGAGAAATTCACTTTTCACAAAGAAATTGATATGTAACATCGTTAATTTATTCTTCTTCTGACTTCAACTGTGGACCAATTCAGTTGTGGCTTCTTGAAAATCCATCTCCCCTTTTAATGTCAGTGTCTGACATTTTGAAGATAAATAATGCAATTTGTATCCAATTCCCCTATATTTTTATTCCATAGTATTCTTTCTGGCAACAATAGCCAGTCTCTTAACGTCCAAGATGAAAAGAAAACAACAATCTGCCGACCTTTCAAACCGTTCTGTTTGCACGCTTTATGTAAAGTCCATTATCTACGGGGATTGCAGTTTGTCTTACACTGTAAAACAACATTCTCTCAAAAGTATAAATATACATTAATTCCCTCGTGAATGCAATTTGTCTGAGTCGTTTCTGCAATCAGTGGAGCAAGTCCCTTTGAAAGTAATCATGCATGGATACAAATAAAAAAAAATGTGAAGAATAACAGCTGATAATGACTACAAGTTTCCCTTGGGAATTGATAGGCAATTTTGCTCAACTTTTGGCACTATGTCATGTGTATGTAAGTACATATGTGCATGAATGGTGAGGGAGCAATTTACCTTTACAAGTAAATGTTTCAGCATGTTTAGGTACGTGTACATATGTCAAAGTGACACATCTTAATGCACTAAATGCAGAAATCTAAATGAAATAAATGTACAACCTGGTATTAAGAAACCATGAAATTTTGGCATGCATAATACATGTAAGATCTCTTTAACTACAAAATGGACTCTAAATGACATGTGCATTTTTTTGTTATATGAACACTCAACTTGAGAAATTAACAACTAAAATGTTTTTTTTGTGAATTTACACTGTGGTATCTTTGTCATGTTTGTACATGTACAATGTACATACATGTATAACAAAACAAATGTTTTGCAAAGATATTCTTGTCTGACATGTCTGATGTCCTGGTAGAAAACAAACGTTTTGTGCGATTTTTACTGGTTGCCACCAGGAATAACACCACGGCCCAACTATCATATTATTTTTCAGATATGGTTAATTGGTTACATTGTATATTTGTGTCAATTTACAAATGATTTTACCCAAACTGTGTATTCTTAATGTGTCCACCATATTTTAACCCTGCTACGCAAACATAAATTCTGTGCCAAGTTGTCATTTACATGTATGTTAAAATCAATCAAGTGACTGTTTTCAACAGTTACATGTAAGAGCTTCCAGCCTACAAAAAAAAGGATTGACCGGCTATGACTGTTTTGTCACTTGATATACACCTGTGCTTTGACTGTAGGTGATTGATAAGACAGCTACGTGTATATATGCCACCAGTTCCTGCTTTTGTCTGTTGACTGAATTTGACTAGTCAGAGTGCTTACTTGAAATACAGTATGATCAGACTGTTTGTGCCTTCCCTGTGTAAAATGGCATGGCAGGGGAAGTGCATGGAATTTTTGACTGTCTGTGACCGTCTTTTTGACTGTCTGTGACTGTCTGTGACTGTCTGTGACTAAAACAGAAGAGGGGTAAGGAGACTTATTGTATGTATGGTGACAAAACTTTCAATTTCATCTTATTTCATTGTTTCATCGTACACATACATGTACATGTACATGTACATGTACAATGCCTCTTGTAAAGCTTTTAGATTGTTCCCCCCCCCCATGTTTTCATCCATTTTAAGTGTGATATATGTATTTATTCACTGAAGGAAACTTTTTCCCATCACAATTTGGAAACTACAAATGCTGTATATCTGGTCTTAGAATATCTGGTCAAAAAAGGCTTACACATTGGGATAAAAAAAAAAAATCTGAGCATGATGAGAGAGGAAAGAAATTGCAAGACACTGGTTGGCCCATTTTGTTTTTGAAATTTCTGAATCCCCAAAGAAAGCAAATTCTGGTCTGCCTACTTTCTCATTTTAATACCCAATCCTTCCTTAATCTGCACTGGGCCCTTAACAACACACGCAAGGGGCTTTTTGACTTCACTGCTTTCCACACATCAATTTGTTAAGTGGCTTTTAGGCTAGTCTAGAAAAAGCAACGTTTCGAGACTTCTGTTTTTATTTCTCGGCAATAGGATTAGTAACATCCAGTGGTTGTTTTTCCTTCAGCTTGACTTCTTTATTGTAATCCATGCGGAGATGGTTGCAGGCAATTTGGTGGTACCACGTTCTAGTATATACATGTATGTACATGTAAGTCACAGTCACTATTTTTTAGGTACTGGTCACTTTTTAAACCTATAGTTTTTTCCAGCATCTACATGTACAACACAAAACTCAAAACAGTTCAGTGTAACAACGATTCCTTTAAATACTAACCCCCAAATCCATCCATTTCTCAAACTTAAAGCAAAAGCAAATGTTGTAAAAATACCTTTAAAGGGAATGTACAACATTTGCTTTTGCTGCAATTTTCAGAAATAAATGGATTCGGAGGATAGAATGTTATAGCAAATATTGCTAAACTGACCTGTTTCACGTTTTGGGCTTGTAGATGCTGGAAAAACCAAGAAAACCAATTATGTTCTTGTAGTCTGGTTCTCTGACCCCACTTAAGATGAAATGGAGCAATTTGTAGACTTAGGGGAATTGTAAGGTCAGAGAATCAGTCTGGCAGGCTTGTACTCCTTTACAAGTGTGTAATCAATTGCAGAGAAAATGAGGAATAACTAAATATGAAAAATTAGGAGTAGTTTTTGAAAATTAGCCACTTTTTTCAAACGCTGGTCGGCCGACCAGCGTTGGAAAAATACAATACAATAAAATGTCAGCACACCAGTCAGGTATTTCGTGATAATTTGATCATTTCGTTTTTTGATGTTTGCAAATGTTGTATCTTCCCTTTCAGGTGGTACATGTACATGCATACATGTATCGGACTAGAGAACTGAAGGTAAGAAATTCATGCAGTTAGCCTACAAATATCTCATTTAATTGAAAGAAACTTACCTGTTTGATCTTTGAATATTCTGGATACCAATATGGGGATGTTATGCTCTGCACCTCCCTAGGGGTAAGAAGATTTACAATGATTAAACGCAGAAGTTACTCTTAAACACATTTTTTTTAATTGATAATTCACTGCTCATATAAATATACATGTATGTACATAACACAAGGAAGTAGTCTTTTTATTCTTAATGAAGGTTTCTATTTTTGTAATCTCATGCTCCAAACAACTTGATTTAAAAACTTTTTTTTCTTCATCTCTTTGTACACTCAACCAAAAAAAACCAACAAAAACAACAACAACATTGTCCTGGCACAGAATTGTAAAATACGAATCACAGGACGGGCTTTTTGTCTATGTAATTTATGTATAACTACAGACACATGAAATCTGCACCTACATGTAAGTTTACTTTGCGAGGCATTCAAGGTCTTGTCATGAAGTGTGTATTTTAGAGACCCTTACTAAAAGCTAACTTAATGCCGAAACAGTCTGGTGCTCTGCATAAAAATAGTTTTACACTGTATTATTAAGCTTTACTCACCTTGATACTAAGTCCCAGACCTCCGATTCTTTGTCTTCTCAAGCAAACACTTCTTTCCTAGAAAAAAACAAACAGATAATTCACTGATAAAGGTATGGATACAATTAAAGCAGCCACATGAATTCTGAAAATACTGATACCAAATCCAAGAAACAAAGACAGAATTTTGTAATTCATACATTTGCAATATATTATTTGTAAATTTTGTCAATAAATATTGTCTTTTTATTTGTTTCCACCAAAATTGTAGCTACGTAGAAAGGGTTGGGAAACAAGCAAAATGGTACAGAAAATGGAAGAATTCATCTGCCAACTTGGGAAAAAAGGGGCCGTCTCCTTCATTTTTTCAAAAAGCCGGACGAGAAACTTTGGGTTTTTTTTTTATTTGGCCTAGTGATAAAAATCATCAAATTATATCAAAACTATTACAGTGTATGTAACTGATACAATACAAAAAACTTTAGTTATGGTTATGGTTTTTGTGTGTGCATTAATAAGGGAATAAATGTGTGCTCTGGAGGTTTTTATCACTCTGTTTAAGACCACTTAGAGTCTGGGTGCTGATAATTACCCGAGCCGGAGGCGAGGGTAATTATCAGCACCCAGACTCTAAGTGGTCTTAAACAGAGTGATAAATACCGACTGAGCACATATTTATTCCCATTCATAAATACCTTTTTGGTAAAAAATATCAAATAATTCGTTCAAAAAATACCGATTTGTTCAACAAGTTCACTTCATGCTTTTTGAAACATCCCTCTAGCAAAATAATGGAGTGTTCAGCTGGCGAGTAAGATGTAAACAGCCCTTTTGGGGAGATTGACGCGCGCGTGGCATGTTCTGAGCGATGTCGCGCAGAACGCACCTGGCGCGTTGCGTTTTGAATTTCGAACTATAAAATTCTGACTCGCTGGTAGTGTTGCGCATGCCTACGTGAGGATTGTGAACGTTCAACCAATGAAACGGTAAGAGGCACTGGATTTTTAGGGGTCTACATTTTATTGCGACACTGGAAAAGTGTTTAAGACCAGCTAGCCATGTCTTTATCATCCGTTTAAGACCGGCCACGTGACGGGCTCTCGACCAATAGGAATGGCTAAACTGTCTGAGGTATTTATGAATTCACATTTAATGTGCTGAGTTTTCAAAACAAATAAACCACATACATGTCATAACACACTTGAAGTACTGATACATGTAATGCAGACTTTTTCATCTGCGCATCTTGAAGTTTAATTACATTTACATATATCTCTGGTCTACATGGAACCATTCTGTGTATTATCAGTTGTTAATTTCACGGTTTATCAATACAACATCCCAAAAATGATTTGAGCATATTCATTTACATACCTTAGATGAATCTATATCAGGTCCATTCACCTGGAACACAAGCAAAGCAAAAACACATGTGAAAATAAAGCTCGCACCACTCAAAACGAAATTACAGAAATCTAATTTGGCACGAGTCATGAGGATCAAGATATGCTCAAGTTAAATCCTTGAACTATTCTCGAGATATTTCTGGGATGTGAGAGATCTACAGCGTACAAAAATTATATGAACATTGTACATGTTGTAGGTTGGCCATTAAACTCCTTAACTAAAAACACATGTGCCTGTATATATCAAGCTCAAGGTTTATTTGAATTCAGTATCAAATTGTGACCCGTCACAGCATACATCAAGTTAAATGTACATGTACATGTACATGTACATGTACTTAATCAGTCCAAGGCAGTTAATCCTGCTTTATGTGGGCTGGGAATTCTTAAGGTTTGAAAATAGTCACTTGATTGATTTTGACTGCAAGGACAACTTGGCTCAGAATGCATGTTTGCATAGGAGGGTTACATGTAACTGTTCATTCACTGTCGCAGTGGGGTCTATGTACACATGTACCGGGTATTTGCCATATTTTTCTCAAAAGTTTCTGAACAACTTCAATTTAGTTGGTCATGTTGGTGGTCCTTATTTCTGTTACCATGATTTAACTCAGTACCCCTAAATGTTACCACATACATGTAGGAAAGTTCTTTTGTGCATAATTTTATCTCAATTCTTAAAAGTGAGGATTGGAATGTGAGCAATGCAAAGATGGATCAAGTTGTATTGTCCAGAACGTTAATGTTGTGTTCCCCTGCTCTTCAACAAACTCATTTCTTTTTCTACTTTTAAACTTGTATGCTTTTATTCTATCCTTGTTTGGACGTCTGCAACCCTGTAAAAGAAGCATTTTGTTTTAGGCACAAACAGATCTACTTTGCGAGCAGAGTTGCTCCCATTCGTCCGTACATTATCGATACTGATTGTGGGAGGGGACGAGTCTACATTTGTGTACCCTGCAAGAACGGACTTATTGTCTGGCAGCCAGTAATTCGCAATTGTGAAGTCATGTGTAATAATTTAATGTAACTAAACATCCAAGGACCATTTTTTTTGGTCAATGTCTCATTCAGAAAAAAATAACTTTTGTATTGTTTGAAAAATAGCAATTCAAAAAAGAAAAAAAATTGGAACAAAACTTTAAAATACCAGGGTAACAGGGGCAACGCCACTTTAAAGTCTGACTACAGTAATGGTGAATACTTTGATTTCATAAAAAAACATTCTGAGGTGACACATATATGCAAATGTGCTTGGTAAAAGTTCAACAGTATACATGGTATATAAAGTTAAACTCTTCAAAACTGTCAATTAGAAAGAGCTAATGTACTGGAACTTGGAATTACATGCAACAAAACTTCCATGACAGAAGTAGGGATTGCGAAAATGAACACTGCCAAAAAGTTCAAGAAGAGAATGATATCCTTAAACTCCCTATAGGGATGTGCAAAATCATATTGAAATTGGAGGATTTAGGACTGTTAGGGTTAACCCTCCTACTATTTAAGAGGTCACTGGTCAAAATTTTCTTCCTCACCTCCTGGCATACTCTGTACAAACTAATAGGGGTCTTGACCAATATTGACCCAAGTAATAGCAAGGCTGACAATGCATGTTTCCATAGGAGGGTTCGGTGAAAGTCTGTGAGAAATAAATGTATTCCTTGAACATGCATCATGTAGTTTGTTCCACTGGAAAAAAATAACATACATTGTACATGTCATGCATGTAAATGTTTTTGATTGCCTCTGAAAAAGTGACTGGTACATGTACCAGTAATGTGGTTGGCCAGCAGGCCATTCAGCAGTTGTCAAGATTTTATTACAGGTTTGACTGCCCTGGAAATGTTGGTGATAGGGTGCTAATTTATTGGGGCTGCCCACTGATTAGATTAAGTTGTTTATCTAGGGCCAATAAATGTCACTGGCAGCAACTGCAATGTCAGGGAAGATTGGTAACAATTGATTCACTGTTTAATATCTGTACAGATGTCACATGCACTGACCAGGGAGGTACATGTAGATGTACCCAGTACATATGAATGGACATGATGTAGTTCAAATTTCTGTAGGCATAGTAGGGGGTAGGAGTAGGGTGAGTAGGGGTAGGAGCAGGGTGGGTAAGGGGTAGGAGTAGGGTGGGTGGGGGGTAGGGTTGGGGTAGGTGTATATAGGGCTGGTTGGGTAGGGGTAGGAGTAGGGTGGGTTCTCGGCATACAATCAATCAATCAATACTTTATTTCCACTCAATCAAATAACAATACATGGAAAATGGGTATAATTAGAATGAAGGGCGATTAAGTGGTGGCCGGCCTCCAAAAAGCAGGGCTTGTCGAGTAGAGACCCCCATAATGTGCATAGCTTAAAGGATTAGATTAAACAAAACTGTACATCTACATGTACACACGGGCTTATTCCTCCATGATGTACATGAGTTTGTTCCTGCATTCAATATGGGACATTGAACAATAGGGAACAATAGAGGACAATAGGGTCCCCAATTCCGGAGAGGTCCCCAATTTGGATCCGTGTAAAAAACATATGGGAGGTCTTTCTAAAAAGTTAAAGTAACGGTACAAACAAAGGAGGGACAATAGGGGGTCCCCAATTGCAGGCAAATACACTCTTTCATGTGGGAGTAGGATTGGGTAGGGATATAAGGGAGTAGTGATGGGCCAAATTTGTATTCATCCACACCAACCTCTGCATCTACTGGACTGACAAGGAATGTCTCTTCTCTCTGTAGACTCAGATTCTCCTTAGACAGCTGGACCCGTACCACCTCACCATTGTGCTGTCCATCTTTCAAGCTCAGGTAACCTGTTTTGACCTGCAAAATGAAACAGTATGCTCAAATATTAGTAAAAAAAAAACATAATTCAAATTCTCCATTGGACAGTGAGAATAAGGAAACCATTTTCCGGGCTTGAATTTCAGGTTGAAATGTATAACTCATGTACTACATTTTGTACATACATGTTTTTGAATGGAAAGAAAAAAAATTGGGGACATTTCAAAGCAAAGCAAGTCAAGCAAAGTTAAATGTACATTGTAGCACAAACCATTTTTAATGGATGATCAATTTTATAACCACAATATAAGTATTCAGAGCAAAAGTGAATGCAGTACGCGAATTTGTGTAGTCACAGCAGTACAGGGTGTCAAATTTATTCCAACTCAAGCGAGTTTTGCTAAATGTGACCGGCTCCACAAACAAGGGTATTAAGTTGCGCTAAGCATTATTGTGTAATAATGGCCCACTCAACACTAAGAGGGTGAAAATTTTGTCAAAATGTAATTTTCATTTTTTATCATGAATGACATCTTTAATACGTACAGTTTCAGGTTTCATTCACAGAAATGTTGATTTTGATGAACAAAGTGGGAACAAACAACTGTTTTGTGTGCATTGTTCTGTTGTTCTACAACAAAGCCAGCTATTTCAAAGCCTGTTTTCTTTGTGTAATTTGAACTCCAAGGAAGTAATTAGTATGCAAATACGTCATATCTCCAGAACGGGAGTGGCTATGGAGCTCTATTATCATGATTATATACCAAATGAAAGCTAACACTGTGGGCTTTCCGACCATAACTCAATTTCACTTTTTTGTGACATAATACCTGCATAATAGCGGGTCACAAATGTTTCTTGACATGCTTGATGTCAAATTTGCGTCCAATGGCATTCACCTGAAATACATGCACACATTTGCTTGCCATTTTGTTCTAACTAAAGTTGTGTTTTTGTTATTTGTTTTGTTTTGTTTTGTTTTGTTTGTTTTTGTGTGGGGGTGTTTTTGTTCTTGTTTTGTTTTGATTTAGTTTGTTTTGTTTTGTTTTTGTTTTGTTTTGGGTTTTTTTTCATATATATATTCATATTTACATTGAATACTATTTAATTTTTGTGTAGACATTTCGAGCATGGGTTGGCAGGCCTTAAAGCTACAGTGCTTTAGTACACTTTTGTTTACCCTGGCCGGTTTGGAATGTTATATTGTTTTTGTTTTCTGTCCCTCTATCTCCTCTCCCCTGTCAAACTGTCCACCCTCTCTTCCCTCCCCCCTCCCCCGACCCATTCCTACTCGCATTCTTCAGTCTTGTCTGGTCTTACTTTTCAATTTCCAATTTTTGTTTACTTTTTAATTTTTATTTGCTTTGTCATCGTACTGTTGTTCATTTGTTGGCCGAATAAATAATAATAATAATACCATACATTGTACATGTACCAGTACATGTACATGTACATGTACATGTATGTACATTTTGTATGATGAACCCTGCCTTTTTCAGAAAAGCTTTCAAAAGAGTAGAGAGTTACACTTTGGCAGTAAAATGTATTTTCTACCAGGCCCGGTCATTTGGTTTCAAAATTTGGCTCAATTTTCATTTGAATAAATTTAGCCTGGACACATGTGTTTGAGAGCCGTCCGAAGTGTTTTGCTTTGTAAACCCATCACCATAAGACACAGCTGTGCCTTTTCAAGGCCTCTTCACACCATCCTCTCATCTACCCATGTTGAAATCAACACTGGTCCACAGCAAGTGGAACCAGGTTGCACCGTACAAGGGTAGGCAAGGCATACCCTAAACACCAGTGTGTGTACATGATTCCGCTGTAGATTTTGGATTTTCTACCTGGGTAGAACCTGTCAACCCTACCAGGGCCCTTTTTCATAGCACTGCTTAACAGCCGATGCTTACCGAGCCTCCATCTATATCATAGAGACTGTAAGCAGTAAGCACAGCAAAAGCATGGTTAATCCCAGAGGAAAACATTGCTTACATGTACATCAATGACGTACAGCATGTACCGGTACGGTAACAATAGAAATCTCAATGCGCACAACCGTTACCACGTCCACGCCATAAGCAGCATCATGATTCTCTGCTATAGTACATGTAAGCACAAATTTTCGGCTAACTTGTAAGCAGTGCTATGAAATTGGGCCTACATTGTAGTTGGATTTTACCTGTGTATGTACATGTACATTGTAGATCTAGAGTGCCGGATTCTTGCTAGTGTCAGTGTACGTGAAAGGGGTTCCCAAAACTTTAGAGGTTCTACCGGTACATGTACATGTACATACATTTGTACCATATGAGCATGTAGAGCAAGGAACAGTCGTCCAACACCAAGATTTTGGATAGTGTGAAGAAATTGTGACATCACACCAAGAGCAAGTACATGTTGTACGGCACATGGGCGAATATTCCACACCAAACATGCCAAAGTGGACATGACTGAAAAAAAATTGATCTCTAATAATTGTGTTCACCTAAATATTATGCCAAACACATGTAAGGATCAGGATGTAAACTCGGTTGGCTGTTTGCCCATCACTTTCTTATAACAAAATTCTGAGAGTGTACTGGTACACATACCAGCAGGTACATGATACGGAAAAAGTCCTGTTCATTCATGAAGGATTTTACCTTATGCCTATCAATGGGATTTTGTTTTGACACGACCACTTTTCCTTGAAACGGGAAATAAAATGAGTAATTTGTTCATACACGTCCTTTCAGCGTAGCAGGAGATACCATTTTTCACAGCTGTCCCATGCATGCAGTCATAAGTTGGCATCTCATTTTGTAATACCATGGATAGCCTTGAACGGTGAGTACAAAAATTCCCAAAATAGAGGTTCTATAAAATCAGATCATGAAGAATGTAAAAGGATGCGCAAAAGTGTACCATGAGTTCCCGTAGAATCGCCCACAGTGAATTTGCAAGTAACGTATGTATTTAAACAGAATGATGCATTTTAGCAGTAAAATGCATTTTTCGATGAGGCAATGCGGTCATCTGGTTTCAAAATCTGGCTCCATTTCCATTTGAGCAAATTTGGCCTGAGCACAGATGCATTGGAGAGATGTTTCCAGGGTTTCACTTTGTAAACTCAACACTGTACGACACACAGCTGTGGCTATATACAGACCCTCCAACCCAGAGGCTGGGAAACTGATCCACCCACCCAAATAGCAGTAGTACTGAGCGATGGTTTGTAGCCTACATGTACGTAGGAGGGTGTAATGTACCGTATGTGCTTACGAGTTTGTGGTAAACTTTCATTGAAGTTGCTCTCCCCATGCTATTTTTCAGTTTCAACCCGAGAACTGGGTTTTGATTTTTAATTGCTAGTTTTTCTAATAACTATATACAAAAGTATTTTAACAAAGATATTGACAGGAGCAGGGTTTGAACCTGCGACCTCCAGAATTGAATACAAAAGTATTCAGTTTTGAATGAGACATCAAATGAAGAAATCTGCCCATGTTTATTTTTGTGACCTGACGATACAGTATATTTTGTAATTATTTTATGGGATTGAAAACGTCCAAAATAGAAAAAAAAAGCCTTTTCCCGCTTTAATAAAACAAATTGAACATGTGTTTAGGAGAAAAATTCAGTATGTGGGGCAGCACTTGGCTCTGAAAACTGAAAAGGAAAACATGTTTGTCCACTGTTAAATGCATAGATCTAGAAAAGTTATTAATTCATTTTGTCCCCCGCATTACAATCTTACATGCACAATCCCATATTAAAATTATTTTAAAAAAATAACAACCCCAGAAAATACAAAAATTTTCAAAAAACTGCTCAAGATTTTCCAATTTTGGCAGCTTTACAGACATCCTGAATTTCTTTTGTAAAAATGCAAATTTCTTTCACATACATGTACATTTATGTAACAACTTCACTCCATATTTTCCCAAGTTGATTTAACATTTTTTTTACTTCTCAAACACTGCAAATTTCTTGTAATGTAATGAAGAATAACAAAAAACATGAGGACACCCCAACAATAGAAATTTACATAACATGGTACTGGCACATGTACCGGTATGTGTACAAAATACAAAACATTGTACATGTTCAACTTCCATGCACACCCACAGACAGACCATACATTGTACATGTACTACCGGTACACCATCGATTTCCAATTTTACCAGACAATTTAGCTCTCTTCAAACATCAGAGCCTAAAGCACATCCTCCAAGGGCCTTGGCAGACAAACAAAGAAGCCCCTCAGCATTGCCATGGCAACCAGAGATGCCAGAAAATTGTTTCGCTATTATTGTTGAGCCTGGGATCCTTGAAGGCACAATCTGGCAGACGATTTGCTGGTGGTATTAAACTATGTGGTTTGTGTGGTAGTCTCAATTCAAGACTGTGCTTGTTGTTTGCTACATGTATGTACCGTAATTGGTGATGCGCAAAACAACATTCTGAAAACTTTTCAAAACATTTAGATTGAAAAAAAAAATGTAAAAAAAAAAATGAAAATTCATAGTACCCTCTCAACTGATACTCATCCTTGAAATGCCGTGCAGGACCAATAAAACATTCAGTCTTGAAACAAGACTAGGGCAGACCAGCAGTGGTGGAACCTCCAAGACAGCTAGCAGCTTCTTATTTGCCATAGAAATTATTTTGCCATTCAAGTCAATTACTGGGGAATGAAATTTGATTACGGAAGGTCACACGTGCACAATTGTTGTCAATCGCAAATTTGCCAAGGTGGTCTGTGCGAATTCAATATTCTGTGCATTACTTATACGGTAATTATAAGCACGTTCATAAATGAATCTGCTGTTGGAAGAAAAGGGAGGAAAGCAATTGCAGATATTGATTCATTGAGTCTTGACCTTCCAGTCCTTCATATTCCACAAGGATATTTTGGAGCCTTTTGCAGGATTGAGAATACGTTAATAATGTATGTACATGTACATGTACAGCCTGCAGCGACTACATTGTAACTACTTTTTGTACATTGTATGGTTTTGCTTTACGGTTGGTGAATGTCTTCCGAATGTGATTTCAACCTCTGCCAATGCAATGTACATGTACATTGTAGGTTGCAGCAGAATATTGTTGAGAGGCCTTGTTAAATTTCAAAGGGGTCTTGTAAAAATGCCTTGGGAATAATTAAAGGCTGGGTTCCAAGGATGCGCGTGTCAAACAGCAGAAACTTGGCAGGATGATACTAATGTATGTACTGTAGGGCACAATTTCATAGCCTTGCAAAGCATAGAATTCCATGCTTCTTGTGTACAGGTATGAACATGCAGGGTAGTCCACCAATCTGTGCTAACCATGCTAAGGGGCCATTCAGAATGTTCAATGTTTTAGAATTTCGACTTTTTTTCCAAATTATTTTGACCCACCCACCCACCCCTACATGTAATTTCGATTAATAAAAAACTGATTTGTTACGCAGTATTTAAAAACAAAACATGTACATGTACATGCACTTGCATACTGTACATCATTAATTACATTCCACTGGCGGGCCTGTGTGGGTTGCGTGTCCTTTCGGAAAAAAATCCATTGCTGCTGGGTGCTGGGCGGAGGCAAAAGCTGTCTCTTTGAAACTTTTCGACAACAAACAAAAGTCAAAAGATCTTTTTTTTTTTTTTTTTGCTCTTTTTTTCCATGAAAAGTGAATTTCGATTTTCAATTATTTAGCTTGACCCACCCACCCACAATTTGGAAAAATAGTTGAAATTTTAAAACATTGAAAATTCTGAATGGCCCCTAACAGTGCAAGATTTTCAAAAAAAACCCAAAAAACAAGTGTGCTATTAGACCCTGTGTGCACAGAATGCTTTACCGGTAGTTAATGTTGCATCATGAACGCCACAATTCCTACATGTAGAGTTGGTACAATGTGTTCCAGTTAAAATATTCTAAAGGTGAGCACACCATTTTTTTGCTAACGGTAAATTACAAATGTACCGGTATACAATGTGTAGCAGAACCACGAAATTGGGCCCAGATCTTGAGTTTGTTATCAGACTTTCAGAGTGATGTTTAGGGCTTGAACCTTTACCATCAGAATAATTTCATGAGATGACGCAGAGGCGAGGTTAATGAGTGGAACGGGAACAAATTGTTCTGTCCATTCCACGAATGTGAAACATTTATTATTTGTTTTACATACATGTACATGAACATGTACATGTATGACAACACAAGAATAAATCCTCCTCATCTGGTCGGTCAAAGCCGCCAAAAGTGTGACCCTGCAATGGAACTTCCATTTACCATGGAATTGAACTTCTATTTTCGCTGTGCATCTGTGATATATGCCTTGGGAGGAATTTCAATGAAACGTACAATGTACATGTACACGTATACAAGTAATCAACGACCAACCAATCAGATGCGGGGATTTATTATTATTATTGTTATTATTTTTAATCATATCTGGTAATGAAACCAAGGATTCTTCAAAAGCGCCCTAGGCACTGTAGCTCGCAAGCCTGAAGAAACCTGTGGAGAGAAGACAATGAGAAGAAGTTACAGTTTTAGAGGTGAGAGGAAAAGCCCAGAAGAATATTCTGGGGAAAACCCACGGAATCAGGTAGGGACTGAAAACCCAATCCACATAATGGCCCAGGCGGGATTCGAACCCGGGTCACAGCGGTGGAAGGCAAGGAAAGTACCGCTACACCAACCTGACTTCCCAGGCATTAAACAATGATACTCCCTGTACTATACTTTGTCAGAGACAAAGATCAATATAAAAACTAATAAAGGATGGGCTGTCTCCAGCATCAATTTGTTATTTCATTGATTCCCTGGAGTGGTGCAACCTTGGGCATGATAGCACACAGATGTAAGATGCTCATTGTAATGTGTGAATGACATTGCTTGTAAACTCCTGTCAAGCAGCTTTTGACTTTTCTGCTTGTTTGAAGTTGAAGTGCAGCTGCTGTTCAGTTTTTTCAACTCTTTACAGTGAAGTCACTTACAATAACCAACAGTGGGCACTTTTGAATCTCACTGCTCTTTAGTGCAAGTCAGTAATCACGCCAGCCAAATCACCATTTGTACTGTCAATTTCCCTCAGGAGAGAGTTTTATGACCCTGGAGCACTTGAGGATTTGTAGAAATGAAGGGTCCCAGCTCTGATTCGAACCTGTCTTTGAAATTATACATGTACATGTACATGTTTCTGTGAATTTTGGGATGAGATTGGACTCGAAAGTCACTCTATTTTTCATCCAGTCTGGTGAAATGTGTTTTGTATGTGTTTTGTACATAGTTATGGTTAAAGGGAATATACATCATTTGCTTTTGCTGTAATTTTCAGAAATGGATGGAATTGGGGGGTTGGAAATATAAAGCAAATATAGTTACACTGACTTTTTGGAGGTTTTGGGTTCGAAAATGCTATAAAAACCAAGAAAAACGATCATTTTCCTGTAGTCTGGTTCCCTGACTCCATATAAGAAGAAACAGAGCAGTTTACATACATTGGGGAATTGTAAGGTCAGGGAACCAGTCTAGCTGGCTCGTACCCATTCATAGGTTTGTAATCGATTGCAAACAAGTGCAATGGTCAATTGGGGCCAGTATTTGAAAAAAAGCCAGTTGTTTCCAACGCTGATCGGCCGATCAGCGTTGGAAATTGATACAAAAATACCACTTTTCTTGAAAATGACAGTATACCAGGTGCCATAATTTTACAGGATGCTTTAGACTGTCATTTACCAACATCCTGTTAAGGTATTTCGCAAAAACTTGGTAGTTTTATTTTTCGATGTTTACAAATGTTGTATATTCCCTTTAAAGGGAACGTACAACATTTGCTTTTGCTGCAATTTACAGAAATAAATGGATTAGGAGGATTAGTATGTTTATAGAAATATTGTTAAATTGACTTAATTCACGTTTTGGGTTTGTAGATGCTGGAAAAACCAAGAAAACCTATCATATTCTTGTAGTCTGGTTCCCTGACCCCCCTTAAAATGAAACACAAATGGGGAATTGTAAGGTCCGAGAGTACATTTACAATGTACATGTATGTAAGTCTTGCAAGCTTGAACCCCTTCACATAATCAATTGCGAAGAAAATTCAGAATAACTAAATATGAAAAGGTAGGAACAGTTTTTGAAAAAAGCCAATTTTCTCCAACGCTGCATTGGAAAAATACAGTTTTTCTTGAAAATGACAGCACACCAGGAGCCACGCTTTCAAAGAATGCTTTTGACTGTCATTCCCTAACAATTCAGTAAGGTATTACGTGATAATTTGATCATTCCGTTCTTTGATGTTTGCAAATGTTGTATCTTCCCTTTAAGGGCACAGATCAGAATCAGTAATTATTTTCTTTATGAGTACACATGTATGGATGTGAAAACTGACACAACATGAGCATGATGAGTACCAGTTGATGACAGGGGTTACATGTAGGTCATGCATCAATCCATCGTCATCATCATTCTATTCATGGCAGGTTTACCAGGGAATGTGAAGAATTCCACAAGACTGGATGAAGACTAGATGGAGGGCAAAAGAGCAACATTGGACAGCTCAACTGGCAATGGGTTTTGCAGTGCAACAATCACTGGTATACATGTACCATGCAGTACAATGTTGAATGCTTTTACTGTGAAGTGTGATTGCTGAATACCGGTAGTGTTCCCAATACTTCCCATACATGTATTTTACATGTTTGATAAAATATTGACTTCCTGAATAGAATTTTAGAAATGTACATGTACCTGAATCATGTTGTTTGGGTCAACTACATATCTAGGCAATGAATTAAGAAGTCTGAAATCTCAAAACTATTTAAATTGTGAATTATCCCCCAAAAACATGACTGATTCCAGCTACAAATGTACGTACAATCAGAAAATTTGACTTAAATTAAAGTTTTGATGGTCGAGATGTGTACATGTACAAATGTACGTACATGTACATGTACTCACCAACAGGCATTTATTTTGACATTATACAAATCTAATTTGTCACAAAAAAAGACCTATTTTTGTCTCTTCTGGCTTTTTCATTAAATTTACAAGATCAAAAATAACTCCAATCTATAGAAAATGGAGCACGTACGTTTTCCTACCAGTCTGCTGGTGCGCTGAGTAACTGGTCTAATCTTTTGGAATAAGGTAGAAATATCTTACCCCATGAATGAACCAGAGAGGGTTCCTGTGTCCTGAGTGGCAGATCGGCAGATTGTGACTCAGCTTGAGCATGAAAGGCTCAAGACCAATGGTGAGTAGCAGATCATCAAACCACAGAGTCATTATTGAGAAAAAAACTCACAGAACTCACAGTTACTAGTTGATAAAAAAAGGCAAACTCTGGAATGTTGAAACCTGTGACTCATTCATCCATGGGATGTCTCTGGGAGTCACAAAACTGATGTTGATGACTCACAGTCTTACACTCACACTCGAGTGAGTCATTCGAAGAAGCATAAATGCAAACATCAAAGAAGGATGAAGAAGGCTTTTGTTGGTTTCCGAAATTCAGTATTCTGAAAATGCAGTACAAATGTAAACTTAACTGTCGAACGTCCGCCTAAATAGTTGAAGTTGATTCATCAGGAATGTCGTTTAAAGCACACCTGGGTTGTAAACACACAACCTTCAAAAAGACAGCATCCAGAACTGGACACAGCTGAGAGAAAATTGCTTCACTGAAGGGTAAACGCTTGGCAGCCACCTAAAACAAGGCCATCTTCACAGGCAGTGATTACAAAATTATGGACCCAAAATAGCTGATGATGAAGAGTATGACATTTAGCAAATTCTGGTTGATGGTTGTGTGCTGGGTGAATCAATTTGAAGGCCAAGGCAGTCATCATTTGGCAGCTGTGTCTTTGCAGAGAGCACATAATTCACTAACTGGCATTTACTGCGCTGGTTGGGCCAGCATAAGTTGGATTTTCCTCCAGAACTTTGGGTCTCTGTGTGCAGAGCTTGCTGTGAATTTGTCGGCCAAATTTGTGATGAAAATGTTCCAAGGATGGACTTCAGTATTTAAAATCCCATGAAAATGTCGTTGAACAGAGTCAAGTCAGTTTCCTCTGATTGTATGTGTAAATGGTCACAAATCTTGGCAGAATATCAAAATACTCTACACTTCACAATGTAACTTCGCCATCCCAAAGATTTATCATGTAATAAAGCATTTAACAACTTTGACAAAGATGTAACAATTACCGGTACTTCAAAATGTCACTGAAGATTCCAGATAAGATATCCGATCTTTTTGTGAGACAAACGCAAACAACACTTGATGAGCTGGCAACAGACCAGTCATTAACAACAGGAGTTGCCTAGCAACAGCTGTTACTTGGCAACTGCCAAGTGACAAGATGCCTCTCAATTAAGTGTGGTTGAGAAGACAACATGTGTTTTGACTTCATGCAGTGATCAGCAACTGAAGATCAAGAAAATTGTGCGATTGAAGGGTTGTCCATGCTTCCTTTTCATTGGTCGCTAGTTTGAAATCAGGAGTGACGATTGGTCAAACTTGATGGCCGTCTCTACCTGTAGCCAATGCTGCATCTGCTTACACGAAGCCTTCAAAAGGATCTCACAGATTCAGCAAGCTCCAACAAATTTGGTTTGATTTCCACACGCATTCAATCCATTTTCTTGAAGTACATGTACACACTGTACAATGTACATGACAATGTGCACCACATGTACCCGGTGCATCACTTCGGATTTTTACCAAAAGATTTATCTCACAAACTTTCCAGTAACAGTGGTCCTTAAAAGAGTGTTGACTGGAAAATACACATACATGTAGCTCATGCCATACGCTTCTGTAGACCTGTACCATTACATCCAAAATGGTATGCAGGATGCACAACATCAAAAGAGCAAATCTCTCAGAGGATGACTGATCTGCTGTTTCACGCATCTGACAATCCGCAAATGCTCTTCAATTTTTTTTCCGGCAGACTGCCCATACCTTTTTGTCCAGTCATCTGTGACTGCAAGGCTCCCCGTCACAATCACAGTGCACATCAGCCCTTATTCCTCAAGGCATACTGGGGATTCCTCCGTCAATTTCGGAGGTACAATTTGTGCAGTCTTTTTACCGTTTCCGCTCATCCGTTAAAAAAAAAAAGAAAAAAAAGTGGAATGCCAAATTGATTTGGAGATTCAGTTTTTCAGTGAGTACAAAATGCAGTGCACAAATAAATCACTGAGCATAGATTTTGGATTTGGCCAATCGAGCGTATGTGGAAAATACTGAATCCTTTCCTGGCTGGAACTTTAGAAACTTTACAGCTGACTTCAATTCATTCATCCACAGATAACGTCATCCAACTTGTATTTCTCCGATCGAAGCACCGGTGGCATGCCCTATATGTATGTCTCTACAGGCCCCACGTTGGCTTGAAATCTTTCAGTCCATAGGGCTGGCTGAGTGGGTGGATATCAAGCAATATCCACAGTGATTTCCAAGCATCGTTCACGGTCCTGCAAGTCCTCATTGCCTTCCGCTATGTGGGTAATTACGAGGCCCAACGCCAAGTCGAGTGTGTAAATGAATAATGATTCCACGGTCAGGCTACAGCACCGCTCGCGTCTGTATGAGTGCAATTTGTTCACGGGGAACTTGTGTCAAATCAGCTGTGTGTTGTGCAGGTGATGCTGCCCTTGGCGGACCAATCAAAAGCAGGAGCAATATCTGGGTTTTAATTCTCCACCAGGTAGTGTATTGCAAGAGGGATCCTTTGATTAATTTGTGTCTCTTATTGATCACTGCCACACCATAATATACACACATGTTTGAGCAGTGTAGCCATTCGGCAATTTTGCCATCCAATCAGAGCGATGAGTGATGCCTGTCTTGTGTGCTTATGTTCTCAAGGTGAACGAGGGATGCTGAGAATGTCCACCCATGCATTGCCATCAATATTCCAGGGGATAATACTCGAGTTACAGAGCAAAAATCTAATTGTTTATGTAGGAATAGCCTGGCACATCATCATGCAATGTTTTGACAAATAAGTGTACATGTACACGCATGTACGACAGAGGAGATGTACATTTTTAACCTTTCAGTATGTTCACTGATCCAAGTACAATGTACTGGTAGTGATATGTTTATGGAATGCCTGACTGACTCACAGAAGGGATGGTACATGTACATGTATGCTACATTGTGTACATGTTCTGAGATGTCAGCAATTCTGTCAGCTCTAAATTGATTAAGTGACAACCGAAACATTAGACTACGGAATGGATCTTTATGTGCACAAACTATGTATGTAAAATATTATCATCTGAAAAGAAAATGCCCAACAAACTCTGGGAAACTGTTCATTGTACCAGTAATATGTACAATGAAGAGAATGATATACTAGTAACGACTGTTCTGTTTATTATATTACCTGATTGATCATCGGAAGCAGCTTGCACTGTGTTCATTCTATCAATTTGGGATCCACTTTTTTCCTTGCCTCTGTTACCTCTTCATGCAGCTGACATCTATTTCTGACGCACTCTTTCATGCGATCATCCTCTAAGAATGATTATGAACAGCAATTAAACTACAATGTACATACTTACATACATGTACATGTGCATGTACACATCAAATGTACATGTACCCAGCAAATAATTGTTTGAAGTCATTCTAAATTACATTGTAATTTGTAGTACTTGATTGGCATGTACCGACCGACCGACATGTGTATATTTTTATAGCAAAGTACCAAAGTAACAGGGACAGGAAACCAATCTATAGGCCAAGTCGGTACATGTACATGTATCACTTTGGACCCTTACGTATCATCTGAATGACCCAATTTTTAATATATTTTGTAAAAAAAATGGAAAATTATTCACAATAATTGTACACCGACACACATACTACGGTACATGTACGTTGTATGCAGACACATCACCAGAACCGTATCAAATAACTGTGTCCATCTCTAGTCTTTCTCCAGAGTTTTCCAGTTTAAAATCAACGTCATGTTTCTAGGCCATTCATGCCATTACGCGGTAGGCGTTCTGGATTCTCTGCAGGGTTCACCAGTGGAAAGCATAATTGTAACCACTGGAGTGGTGTAACAAGAGAACTTAAAAATCAAATTATGGTTGCCGTATATGGCTCGTCTTATGGTTCACAGTACTTGATGTGTAGTAGAAAAACAAATGTACATAGTAGCAATTTGTTGTAGGCCTACTTAAAGCTACAGTCCATCATTTGCAGCTATCCAAAAAGTAACGGACGCAATTATTCTTGAAAAACATACATGTACTTGGTTGAAAGATAGTAAGGGGACTAAAGTCCCTGTGAAATTATTCTTTCTGGCAAGCTGTCATTTTGAAGAAATCAACGAAAGAAGGCTTTTCAAACAGTGCATCTAAAGATCCACCGTTAGAAATTTCCGTTTAGTGGTTGTTTTTTTGGTGAAGTTCGCGCAAGCGTTGGCACAATGCACATGCGGTTGCTATAGGCCTAATTCGTCGGATCGATGCGCGACATCGCGTAGCTGCAATCGGGTCAGTGAGAATGTGTCTCGGAGCTGAATTCAGGCCCAATTCAAAACACGATCCAGCAACTTTTGATTTGAAATCAAGATCCTACAAATGTACATGTACATGTACATAGAATGCTGTTTTTCTCCAAAATATACAGCTGAAGCTGAGCTGAAACTTCATCAGGTTAGCTGTTGAGCACCAGTGTTGTTGTACAAAATGTAGGTCTCGAAACCGGTCTCGGTCTCGGTCTCGACATTATAATATTGTGTACGGTATTTTGACAAAATTTGCCTGGAAAGTCTTGAATTCTTTAAAGGGAATATACATCATTTGCTTTTGCTGTAATTTTCAGAAATGGATGGAATTGGGGGTTTGAAATATAAAGCAAATATAGTTACACTAACTTTTTGGAGGTTTTGGGTTCGAAAATGCTATAAAAACCAAGAAAAACGATCATTTTCCTGTAGTCTGGTTCCCTGACTCCATATAAGAAGAAACAGAGCAGTTTACATACATTTGGGAATTGTAAGGTCAGGGAACCAGTCTAGCTGGCTCGTACCCGTTCATAGGTTTGTAATCGATTGCAAACAAGTGCAATGGTCAATTGGGGCCAGTATTTGAAAAAAAAGCCAGTTGTTTCCAACGCTGATCGGTTGATCAGCGTTGGAAATTGATACAAAAATACCACTTTTCTTGAAAATGACAGTATACCAGGTGCCATAATTTTACAGGATGCTTTTCTGTAAAGGTATTTCGCAAAAACTTGGTAGTTTTATTTTTCGATGTTTGCAAATGTTGTATATTCCCTTTAAGCACTTGTAATCCTCAACAATGGCAAATGGGGTGGAAATGTATACATGTACATGTGTACACATGTACATGTAAGTGGAAAATAGGACAAACAACTTGATATTATTAGAACTGCTTTTAAAAGTCATGTAATTTCCCAATCCCAAGTCACACTTTTGTACCCCTTAGTGTGGAAAGGCCCATACATGTACAATGTTCTTCCATGGTATTCCAGCGCTGATGCTCCTCCTCAATCCTACAAAATCTGCATTGTGGTTTGCACTGATCTTTGATTGAACATGTGGAAGATTGAAGTCTCTTTGCAGTTTGGAAGTTGAGGTCAGATGGATTCATGAAAGAAATTGAGGTGGATTATGGAGGATTGAGATCACATCCTAATACTCTCTAGAATGGAGACTGTGCACATGCATTGTATACCGGTAGAACATCCAGGTACCGGTATTGTGCATTGTTTGTACAAATTACACATGAAATTAAACTGGAACTGGGACAATTCCACACTAATGGGCCAATTAGATAAGTTTATGGATGTTGCATATAAAGGTAAAGGATGAGCTAGTATTTTTTTTTTCCAGTAGGCCTATTTTCCCATATCTTGAAAGTGACTAGGACAAGACATGACAAAAGATGATATCTTTTTTATTTGAGAAAATAGCAGGCATCTTTTCTGTGTGATGGTACATGTACGTAACGTGGACAGACACACTGCAAGGAAAAGGGTGCTTGGGACAAATTCAGTTTCAGTAAAACTTAGGCACTTCCAGTGACATTATTAAGCTA